AAAAATAAGATCATTCAAAATAATTTTCAAAGGTCGGGGGAAACTATTAGTCGATACTTTAATATAGTATTAAATGCTGTTTTGAAACTCCGAAATCATTTATTCAAAGATCCTGAACCAGTCCCAGCTACCTCTACAGATCATAGATGGAAATGGTTTAAGGTAGTTGAACATATCCCCTACACTTGAGTTATAAGTTTAATTACAATGTGAATATATATTTAATAATATTTGATATTGTTTCTAGAATTGTTTAGGCGCTTTAGATGAAACTTTCATTAGAATACAAGTGTCATAAGAAGATAAGCCTAGATATCGATCTCGCAAGGGTGAAATTGCAACAAATGTATTAGGTGTATGTACACCTAATATGCAATTTGTGTATGTTCTTCCGGAATGGAAGGATCTGTAGCTGACAGTAGAGTTCTTCGGGATGCATTATCTAGAAGGCATCCACTTAAGGTCCCTAATGGTAAGCATTATAATATTAAATTCCAAATATCATATAATATAATATGCATTCTTATTAAACTATAAACTTATGTTTCTAGGTTGTTACTACTTAGTTGTCGGAGGATATGCCAATAGTGAGGGATTTTTGGCACCATTTAGAGGTCAAATGTACCACTTAAATGAATGGCGGCAAGGTCTTCAACCGGCAACTCCTCAAGAGTTCTTTAATATGAAACATGCAGCTGCTCGCAATTTCATAGAACGTTGTTTGGGGTTATTGAAAATGAGATAGGCTATACTTAGAAGTCAATCATTTTATCCTGTTAGAATACATAATAGAATTATACTTGCATGTTGTTTGCTGCATAATTTTATTAGAAATGAGATGGTTGTTGATCCTATTGAAAATGAATTCGTACAAGGTAACAACATATATGAAGATGATGATGTTACACTAATAGAGCCTTCAGAAGTTTGGAATAATTGGAGGACAGAATTAGCAAATGACATGTTCAATGAATGGACAACATCTAGAAATTAAGGACATATTCATTGATGTTTGATTTTGTGATTTGGTGTTTTTTGTATTGTGGTTTATGAACAATGTGTTTGAGTTTGATTAATAATTTATTATTTCAATTTATTTGTAGTTAAGAATGGCTTCTCCCCCTACATCTGCAACCATCGGCTCTCAAAGTGTTAAGCAAACAAAAAGAAAGTGGACACCCGAAGAAGACATTATATTAGTGTCATGTTTGACCGAAATGCATAATGTAGGAAAATATAATTCCGATACAGGGTTTAAGACAGGTTATTTATTAGAACTTGAAAGAATGATTTTGACAAAATACCAAATTGTACCATAAAAGTTAAGCCACATATTGAGAGTAGAATTAAAACTTTGAAAAAAGAATGGGGCATTATTCATGATATGGTGCTAGGTAAGAACACTAGTGGGTTCGGTTGGAATGACCAAAAGCACATGGTGTATGCTGAAGATGCAATTTGGAAATCATACTTAATTGTAAGTATTTACCTTTGTTGTACTTTCATTTATTTTTATTAATGTATACATACAACTAATTTATTTATGTTTATTATAGAGTCACAAAGAAGCTGCACCTTTTAGAACAAGAAACTTTAGGTTTTATAATGAGTTATCTACAATATATTCTAAAGATCGTGCAACTGGAAAAGATGCACAGACAGCAGATGATGTAGTTGAAGAAATACAAGCTGAAGAACAAAATGATATAAGAGCTGACACGGAAGATAGTGCATTTGTTGGTTTGGATGATATTGATTTAACGAGTACACAACATGAGCCACAAAATGATGGTAGAAAAAGAAGCAATTCAAGTAAGAGAAAGAGAAGTCATGATGAAGCTATTGAGATATGTGCTGAGAAAATGCTTAATGCTGCGAAGCTAATAAGCAATACAATGTCAGAGGTTGGTAAGAATTTGTTCGATGGTCTTCAATATGATCGTGATATGGATATGTTTCAGAAGCTTGAACGTGCATTAAAAGAAGTTGATGGTTTGGCAAATGATTAAATGGACCTTGTTTCGTTTAAGCTCACTGATCATCCTAATAAAGTAGCTTTTTTTCTCAGTCTTGATCCTGATCGAAGACTACCGTGGATTCCTTGCTATCAATTAGTCATTCTTCTTCATAGTTATATTTTATGAACATTGTAACTTTCATTGGATTGTTTTGAGTATTTTGTTAAAAATAACATATGTTATGCTTCTTCTGAATATTGTTAAATGTTCTTTAAAAAATTTTGTTATTTATATGACTATTTTGTTTCGTAATTTACATATCATTGCTTTTTCTGAATATTATTGATGCCTAATAATAATAATAATAATAATAATAATAATAATAATAATAATAATATTTTTTGTACAAGGGCATTTATGTTTTTTAAACATATATTTTATTCTTATTCCTTAACCAACCAAACATTGGAATACAGTTCTCAATGTCTATTCCTTCAGCGAACCAAACAACAGAATACAATTTCTATTATATTCCTTACATATTTCATTCCTTATGTAATAACATTTATATTCCCTCCAAATTGATTCCGTGAACCAAACGGACCATTAGTGGTACTGAGATATTATACTATCATACAGATATTAAAAATAATAATTATTAAAAAAATAAAAATAAAAAAGCTCCTTCCCAAGGCATTTTAAAGGAACTATTGCCTTAAATATTCAACTAACCATGTTATATTAGCATCTTGTGTCCTCGATCTGCATATACTTTTAATAAACAAGTTTAATATTGTGGTAATGAGATGAAGATGTAAGGTCTGGAACTTAGATCTGGTGATCATAGTTTATTTAAACGAAACCATCTTAATTAGTATAAAGACAGTGTTAGATATACATAAGTTGAGATAATTATATATACGAGATTTTTTTTCTTTTAAGGAAGATCTTTAGTATACAAAACTTCATATAATCTTTATGTTAATCAGTATTCGATGGTGTGTACGGGATAAATATTATACCATATATGTACAATGGACTGAGTTCAATCGAGAGATGTTGTATAGAATTGAACTCGTAATCTTATAATACTACTGTAAAAGAATTATATTTCACTCACTCAACCACCATTTTCGAAGTTTATTTTTGAACGGTAAGATTGGATCAAGCAGAAATTAATGTGAATATTTGGTGAAAATTATTTACTCTTTTAATTTAAAGTACATATAGTTTCAAATATAACTGCCAGACTAGCTAGTCTATCACTCTTTAGTAGCTGAAAATTTGTATCAATTATTTAGGAAACATATTATTGATAACAACTTTAAAAGAGCAGATGTCATTATTCTCGAATTTTGATTATCACTCTCAAGTTGCGTTGATCTGCATGTGCAACGTTAATAAACATTAATATATATCTAGAAAACTAGAGGGCAACCCATCTAAATTGAGCTGGTATGATAGACGGTTTTAAGAGCTATCACACTAGTCAGATTCTTGGTCTTATGTGTGCTTTTTTATACCTGCTTTCCGAAATTCGAATCCTCGTATTGTCACCTCCAGTCATAACCTTTAAATCAAACGACGAATTAATTACGCCAAGTTCCGAGAGCATGAACAACCTAAGTTGATTTAAGGGAAAATGACACTTTTCCCCTGAGTTATATGCTTATAGCACTTTTTCTTTCTCAATTATTCATGTACCTACATTTGCCCCCTTAGTTATATTAAAACTGACAGTTTTCTCCCTTTTATTGTTAGATGTACATTTTTACCTCAAAACTAAAAATTTCATTTTTTTTCTTCTCTAACAAATTATTACTTATATGTACGGATGACCACGGTTCGGTTTGAACAATTTTTTTTATTTTATTACCAGTTCAAAATTTATTTATTTATTTATTTCGTAAATTCTATTTCTTATTTTTTTAAATAATCTAAATTCAACAATTATTTTATTTTATATTATTTTTTCGGTTCTGAATCGTAACCAAAACCGTCCCTACTATTTTGATTTGGTTGCTATAGTGTCCAATTAGGTTTGAACCGAATCTTGGTCATCTATACATATAAACAATAATTTGTTGAAAAAGAAAAATAAATAAAATATTTAGTTTAAAGGGTAAAAATGTCCATCTAACATAAAAGGGAAAAAATCTGTCACTTTTAATATACCTGAAGGGGCAAATATTAATACATAAACAACTAAGGAGGAAAAAGTTGATACATAAACAACTAAGGAGGAAAAAGTGCTATAAGCATATAACTCTGAGGAAAGGAAAAAATGTCATTTTCCCTACATCCTAAGTTAATACATAAACAACCAAGACTATGTGGTCTAATGGTATCCGGGCTGGACTTCCATTTGGAAAGTTACGAGTTCGAGCCTCAGTGGGGGTGTTATTGGTTTTTTGTGTTTCAGTAGGTTGAGAAAGTATATGAACAGATACTACAACTAAGGAATTTTCCCTACATCCTAGTAACGATAAACCACAGAGGCTCAGAGGCACTTTGAGAGGTTGCTCCCACACTGCCGCTAGATTATTCTTCCTCCCCTCACTTTGAGAGGTTGCTCCCACACTGCCGCTAGATTATTCTTCCAAAGTTTCACCTCTATGACCAGTTGAACTGCCCATACATGTAAAAATGTCATTTTTCCTTTATTTTTCCTTGACTTCACTATTTGTGGTTACTTATCAATTATGAAGTTTTGCTCCCTCAACCACTATATCATTGAAGATAAATAGTTCCACGTTTCCAAAAAGATGATAATACAATATATTATAATTTATCGGTTAAACTATTATGTTTTTTAACGTAACAATAATTGTAACTTACAATTTTTTACCCAAAGAAGAGTAAATGACATGAAAATTTTAGCAGTGAGAATCCTACAAGGCATGGAGTTGATGGCAAGGTGGGAATCGTATCGTATCCGATCTTGTATGCCATGTCGTAAAATACGGCGTTACATATACATACACTGTATAACCGCTAAAAGAACGCGCGCACGCCCGCCCATATTCTCTCATCCGCTAAAATTGGCGGCACAAAAGTAGCAACTCACCAATCTAATCTCCTCTTCTTCCCTCTCTAGAGGAAGATTTGATCACCATTGTTGTCTTAGATTCAGCGCTCCAAAAAGCAAAGCAGCAATCTTTTTCTTCTGGGGAATGCTGTGGGCGGTGTAAAATTTCAGAATTTATACTCTTCTACCGATATATCCTTCTCTGGGTACCCAAAAAGATGCAAGATTCCGCCTCTGCGTTTTCTCCCTCTAGCCTTCTCTGCGACGAAGACGATTCTCGCTTGAGAGACGGCGTTGACAGAGGTTTGGACTTTGACCCTTGTCCCCCCTCCTCGGAATCCGATAATGAGTACGTAGAAACGTTGATTGAAAGAGACGCCAGTTCTCAATCGAATAACTACGGAGTTTCCTGCGATGATGCTTGGCTGAAATGTGCTCGATTGGAAGCCGTCAATTGGATTCTCAATGTTTGTGTTTTTCCCCCCTTTGATTTTTCTCTGTTCTATTTTCTCCCATGGCCATGGGGGGATTAATTTAATAATGCTTTTTGGCACAGAATCGAGCTGTTTTTGGATTTCAGCTCCGTACAGCTTATCTATCAATGATGTATTTCGATCAGTTCATTGCTAGGACATCCATTGCTGTGAGCATCTTTTTCTGTTTTTGCTCTTTGTAATTAAAGTTTTAATCTTTTTTGCTCATTTGTTAGATTCTTTCTTAATTGGAATAATGATTTGTTTTTGTGCTTAATTATATATAGACTGGGAAGATTTGGGCTATTCGATTGCTATCAATTGCGTGTTTATCTTTGGCTGCCAAGGTGGAGGAGTGTAAAGTACCAGCATTGTCTCAGTATCATGTAGATGACTACTATTTTGCTGGCAACATTATTCAAAAAATGGAATTATTGGTCTTGAATACATTGGAGTGGAAGATGAATTTGATTACCCCTTTTGCTTTTGTCCACTATTTTGTCACCAAGTTTTGCGGGGAACCTAGATCCAAAGAGCTAGTTCCCAAAGCCATTGAGCTCATTGTAGATGTAATGAAAGGTATATATACAGATTGACAGTGCCCTTTGAATCTGGCAGATATGGTTCTTAGATTTGAATGGTCTTTTGCAGAGATTAGTTTGGTGGAACACCAGCCATCGTTTATTGCTGCAGCATCTGTTTTAGCAGTTTATGATTGCAATCTGACGAGAAAAACAGTGGAGATTAAGACTAGTGTAATCCCGTCTTGGGGGTTTCTAGAAAAGGTCTGTTTCCTTATTTGCCATAATCATATAATGTCCTTTTTCTGCTGATTATCTCACAAATGCAATGTCACTTCTTCAGGAACATGTGTTTTCCTGTTATAGTCTGCTTCAGGTAATGGACACGGTTAAGTCCAAGACCCCCAAGTCTTCAGTTTTACCCAATTCATTGTTACCTTGTCCATGTTCAATTGTTCACGACAAATCGCCCACTTCCATGGCCGTTGGCTCTAAGAGAAGGCTTACATACAGTGACAATGATCAACTGGATTCATCAAGGTAGTAGTGGAGTTTGATTTTTTAAAGGAAAGTTTTGGTTTGGTGGTGTTGCCTACAATTCAATAAAGGGCATCATACCTGTGGCTGATTGGGCTTTCAGGAAAGAGTCTGGTGTGACAACCATGCAAGTGGTGAAAAGAGATATTTTTAAGGAAAAAAAAAGGATTTCTTTATGCAACAGCGAGAACTTAGAACCTAACCAAAGTTCAAAAGAAGAAGTTTTTTTGAGGAGAAAGTAAGATTGAAATATATATATTTATATGAACCAGTTGAATACTGTGCTGAGAGTAGCTTTTGGTTGCTTTTCCTTTTGCTAAGGCTGCTAGTGCATACTTTTCATTTGCTAGTTCTTTACTGTATGTTATGTTCTTTGATTTGTTTCTCTGTTTTGTTTTCCTGGGGAATGCTTAATAACTGCATTTGCCTGCTGTATCCTACACAAATTCCATGAGAATCCTGGGATACACACATGTGTTCATTGAAATCTCTGAATATCATGAGTACATGGAAAGAAGAAGGATTAAGAGTTGTCTTTTTGCCATATGATATATTCAAATCTGTCTTGCATTTGGTCCATCCCCCAAAAGCATGTAATGTTGTTGGATGCTACTTTATGTGCTTGAATGTTGGTGGCTTTCTATATAATGGCTGTCATTTTTGTGATATTCTTGGGTTCATGGTGCCCCCCACCATCCTCATTCACTACTTGTATGGTTAAAGATGTGTTTTGGGTAGCTCAACTAAGCACAAAGGTGAAATTTGTTACAAGAGATCAAATATTGAGTCCACCAGCAGCAGTGTGGGAGTAGCCTCTCAAAGTGAGGGAGCTCCTTCCTTGTGTGGCAATGAATAAAAGTGTAGCCTCTGTTGGTCAGTTGAGTCACATGATTTACTCCTCCACAAACTGTCGAGCCGGGGCAGGGTGTGGGCGCTTGGGATGTGCGTTGTCACAAAGATGTGTTTTTTACCCCTCGAAAGAGCCTGTTGAACAATGTCAAGTATTCCTAGTGCGGTTACCTCTCTTGTGTGTATGGAAAATGACATTTTTAGGCAAAATCTTAACCAACCTAGCATTATCATCCTAATTGTTACAGGGCTAAATTCCAGTTTGAAATTTTCAACCATGTACAGCCAGCCTTAGCCCAAGGCAGTTGGCCAACACAAACCAAGTAACTGTTTGGTTTGCACCTTCACACCCAATGGGCAGAATTTAGGGAAATGTTGTGGTACTTTAGGAAAATACGTGAGTGACAGTTTTCAACCTGAAGACCACATATATTAATTCAAACTCGAACCAATATACAAGACTCACTCATCATCCAACTCTAGGCTGATCCTCTCAAGCTCTCGCCTCACTTGTACAACAAAATGGTTACAACTTGGGCTATTCATAGCCCCACGGGCAGTTACAGATCAACTGCCTAGTCAATTTAACTAGAGTAAAGCTAACCACGGTAAAAACTAAGTCAGCTTCCCAAAATCGACAGTAACTACTCGGTCATATCTAGCAAATCCCACCAATAAGTTGAAATTGCCCCAAAATCTGCAAAAATCGCCCAATCGCCGAGTAACCGCACCATGGTCCAGCCAAACACACACTATTTTGGGCCTTTGGTCCACCACTTGGTCTCGGGCCTTTGGTCCACAATTCTTGCACTTGGTCCATGGCTTTGCACCATATATCACACAAGTTCGCGCCAAGACTGCCTGCCTTGAGTATCGCCCATGCTGCTACGCATGCGTTGGCGCCCAATCACTTACCGTGCCTCGCATTTCTTGTAACGATACGCTTGAGTCCACACTGCATCGAGGCTTTTCCGCACCCATGCGCCCAAGTCCTGACCGCATTGAGCCAACCAGCAAACCAACACATGTGATCTACACCAATTCGCACCAACTCACCTTTAGAGTCAATAATTGCCAAGACCAATGCCCAAGTCTCGAACCAACTTGAACCAATCTTTGGACCTCGATATGCCAAATCCTGCTACAATGTACCTTGTTGCACCCACAATGCACCAACCGAGCTACAACTCGACCGAATACCACGTAAGCCACTCATGGCTTGACCTCAGACTTAGAATATGTTACCGTTCAAGCCCGTCCGCATTTCACCATGCGCACATAAAGCACGTTGGTGTTTCCCACCAAGCCAACTTTCCAACAACTTAGTCATTGACTAACCAAGCTGACACTTGCCCAAAAGCCATGTCCTCTTCATGACTTAGGACCCAACACGCCATCTTTGTGCTACGAACCATGCAACTTTGACCAAACCAAGCCAAATTCGTGCCTTTGGATTTTCCAAGACTAACACTTATCTACTACTTTGAAAAGTTTAAGGAACGCCTTCAAAATATACGATTTTGACCATTTAATTGTTAGCTTTCAGTAGTTTTAGTCTTTGACTATTATGTGTGAGTTTTTCCACTGTCAAATTGTTGAGCATCATATTACAATTTCAAGTGTTATTTTAACAAATGGCAAACATATTTTCTCAATCCTAACGAAATTTCTTTAAATCGTTAGAATAGACGAAATCATTATATTTGGGCCAAATTGATGGGTTGATATTGGTCCAATTTGTAATAAAGCAATCGTTATATCGTGCACAAGGGCGCACAATGCATTGTGCATCCTGCCAAAAACGACGTCGTTTTTATAAATTGTGTGGGGAGTTGAACCACGACATACATTTTTTTTAACACTTGTGTTTATATGTATTATGTTAAGAATTTATGTATATTATGTATTATATTAGGTTATATGTATTATTTTAGGAGTTTATGTGTATTCTACTATACAATTTTATACATTCGAAACAAGGTTCGCGTCTGACAGGCCAATATAATTTGGTGCACGACATAACAGAAACGAAAAACCGAATTTCTCTAAAAAAAAACAAAAAACAGATATAAAACGACATCGTTTTGAATCAGGAAACATAATCTTGTGCACGCTCTAATTTGCCGTACTAACTAATAAAGTGGACACATAAAGCATAGCCCAACTTCAAAAACAAAAGCGCCAATCTTTAGAATTCAAAATCCGTAAGCTTACAGTCGGTCATGGTTCGCGTCTGACAGGCCAATAGGAGTCAAGGATTCGTCGTCACCGGCAGACTTCCCTCGCTTTCAGATTTAAGATACCATGGAGAACTGAAGCGCAGAGAATTTCATGCCTTCGCTTCAATGGAGAAGAGACTACGCTCGATGCTCCATAGCTCAGCAGAAGGGTTTCTCTCTTCAGCTACAAAATCAGGGTTCAAAAAAGTCTCGAAACCCTCTCTCAGAACTCTAATTCACGGCCTCAAACCTTCTTCCGATGTCGCTGGCTCCCTCCCTCTTGCCCTCTGCCACTCCATTTCTCAGGCAATCGAGAAATTCAAAAGCTTCACTGACCCAGCTTCCGACGGCACCGCCTCCGCTGGCGGAGAATCGTCCCCCCAAACACCTCCTACCAAGCGGCTTCGCAGATCTGGTCGGAACCGGAAGAATGACGATGAGGATTCAAGCAAGGACAGAAGTGAAGATGCGAAGCATTCTGTCGTGGAAAGTTTGCAGCTATATGCTTACATTTTGTTTCAGTGCATTTCACATCCCAAAGATATATTCGTGGCGTCTGATTTGTTGCCGGCTGCTCGCGAATTGCACGATAACTTGGTGTTTTTTGAGTCGGATTCCGGCTTGTTATCTGAAATTGCTAGTGTGTGCGAAGAGTGGTGGAAGAGAGATTTGCCGGGCAGAGAATCCCTAATTACTCAGTCACTGCCGTTTCTGTTGTCGAGGGCGTTGACATTCAAGAAGAAAGTTGATGTGCATAGAGTGTACGCTCTGCGCGAAGCCTTCACGCTGTTTGATTTCGATGATGAGAGCATTGCGGATTTGAAGCATTTGATGATGCGGTGTGTGATTTCGCCTCTGTTCTTAAAGACGGAGGACGGGAGGAAGTTTATAGCGTTTATGTTTGGGTTGAGCGGGCAGCTCGCGAAGGAGGCATTGGCAATGATTAAGTCACAGGTTCCTTTTGGACGTAAATCGACATTGGAGGCCTTTGGGGAAATTGTTTTCAGGGCATGGAAGGCTGCGGAAGGGGAATCCAGGAGTGATATTGAGGACGGGTTCTTGCAAGTGCTGATTGATAGTGCTATTCATGCAAGCTCAGCAACATTTTCTGCATCAATTAGGAGGATTTTGGGAGGTTTCATTGTTCAGAGAACGATAGCTGGGGTTGAAAAAGTCCTTTTTCGTCTTGCTGAGCCAGTCATTTTTCGATCACTGCAGGTAGTGTTCTGGTTCAATTCTGTTGCTTTTTTGAGTGATGAGGGACACCCGCTGCCACTACCTGAGGGTATGCACTGCTTAAATCTCGCCTTGTGCCCTTAGGCGGTAAACAACATAGCGTAGGTTGTCGATAGCTGACCGGCACCAACCAAGATTAGGTTGTTCATGCTGGAGTCTAATTTGTAACCTTGTGGTTACCAAGTCAACAACGACCAACTGGGGTTGCCCCACTTTGTTTGTTCCTAATCTTTACTGTGGTGTTCCTATTATGTTTCATCCTTGCTACTTATTTGTACCATACTAGATATTCCGAATGGATTCAGTTATTTGGCCTAGTATATCTAAAAAGGAAAAGATATAGGCCAGCTTATTTCCCAAAGATTGAGCCTTAATGGACAGATAGAATTTAGGTAGTAGTTTCAGGTCATGTACTCATATCGTGTTGAAGTACCATTTTGGCATTGGATTTAACTGAGAGCGCCTGAGTACTCCATAAGAGTTTCATTTGGCAAACAAGGTTCAATAATCTGGTTGTCTAGTTTCTCTTAAAAGTTACTGTAATAGTGTAACATTACCAAGCTTGCATATTTAGCGTCTTTAATTGGATGTAAGTGTTAATATTAAGCAGAATTCGGTAATGAAGTGTCTGAACCTCTCATATTGTGCATCAGACTTTTCATATTTCCTTGCTATGCTGCATAGATACTGAAATGGAAGTTAACTTTTAAAATTATTTGCAAACTTGGTTGCAGGTTGCAAACTCAAATGTTCGTCAAAATGCATTGCACTTACTTCTGGATTTATTTCCTCTTGAAGATCCTGATGCTACAAAGGAGGCAAAAGACACACTCGTTGAGAAACAGTTCTTTTTGTTGGATAAATTAGTGATGGATGAATGTCCAGATGTGCGAGTTGTAGCTGTTGAAGGGTGTTGTCGGATTCTTCGTATGTTCTGGGAAGTTATTCCTTCGCTCACAATCACCAAAACAATTACTAAAATATTTGACCATATGGTGCATGATGCATGCACTGAAGTCAGGCTTTCTGCAGTGAATGGTATCATATATTTGCTGGGAAATCCTCATTCTCATGAGGTCCTTAAAGTGCTTTTACCAAGAATGGGTCATTTGATTTCGGATAGTACACTTTCCGTTCGTTCTGCCACTGTAGATCTCCTTCTCAGTTTGAGAGATATAAGAAACTTCTTCTTTCACAAGGTAGGGACTGCTTGATGACTGAAAGTCTGTGCAGCTATAGGCTAATTCAATTTTCTATTGCTACCTCAACTTACATTTTTCCCCTTTTGCAGGTGGTTAGTATAGATGCATTATGTTCTGCATTGGCAAGTGATCAACTGCTTGTTGCTCAGAAAATCACTAAACTTCTTCTTCCTTCGTATTTCCCCTCGAAGGTAAAACTGGAAGAAGCATGTAATCGTTGTGTTACACTTGTAAAGAGGTCTCCTGCTGCTGGAGCAAGGTTCTGTGAATTTGCTGTGTCAGCGGGAGCCTCTCTCCAGTCTTTGATGGAACTGTTAAAAGTTTTTATACGTTTGATTCTTTCGCCTGGAAAGCTGGAAGAAGATCAAATTAATGGTATGATTATTGGTACCTCACACCTTTATAACCATCTTGTAAAAGAAGCATCTTTCCAGGCTACTCTTAAGGAAGAGTTATCAGGTAAAGTACTGGAAATCCTGTTTGCTGCAGCAACTACAAACCATGCTAAGTCATCTATATGCAACATTGTTACAACAATTTCTCCAGAAGCTGTTGTTGATGGTCTTTTTGAAGAATGCTTGGCCTTGATCACAAATTGCAGTGGATTATCTGGTAATGTAGAGAGGCAAGCTGAGGTGAGGTCTGCACACAGGATGATGCTGTCTTGTGGTTGGTTTGATGATATGTTTGAATCTCTAGCAACAATTCTGCAAGAAATTGCCTCCAAATACCATTCTAGGAACAAGTCAGCAAAACCTGAGGTTTCCTCGGCAAAACAGAGGAAAACTAAATCCTCCACCAGAATTTCCTCAAAATGCAAGCTTTCCAACTCAAAGAAGGCAACAAATAAGTCAAAAGTTAGCTCTGCTGAGGATTATGAGATTGCTGAGGGAATAGCCTGGCAAGTAAATGATCTGTTATTATCTGAAAGTACAAGAAAGGCTGTGTTAGGATCTGGAACTTTGGAAACCACATTTCTTGCTCTGAAGGATATCTCAGAATTTAGCATTCTGCAGCCTGTGCAGTGTGATTATATCAGTGTATCTCCACTTCTAGCTTACACAGCTCTTAGTTTGCATATGTCTGCTCAAAATATCAGCATCATTGAAAAACATTCAGTAAAGAAAAGGAATTGCCTTGAACCAACCTCATCTGCAGAGGTAGATATGAGTCTTAATTGTGTTTTTGCATCTACCATTCTACGTGGCTATTTTCTTTCTTTTCTGCTAATTTTGTTTATATTCTATCTGAAAGCATTTTTTTATAGCTTACATGCTTCTATCTTCGTCATTTTGCATCACAGAGAACTACATTGGACCTGACAATGGATCATCTTCTAGACTGCACAAACAAATTCTTCAGAGCAAGAGGTCACGACAAGTTCTTTTCAGGTAGAGTGAGGATGCTAACTGCAGTACTGAAGTTCATTGTTGATGCTACTGCAATGAATCTTTACCATGATCTAGAAGCCTGCCTGAAGTTCACTATGGAATACATACATTTTATCATCTCCTGTTTAAGAAAGTATTCCATTAACCAGCTGCAATTAACAGACGAGGGCACGAAAGACACATTTCTATGTTTGAAAAGTTCCTTCACATATGGAGCCAAGTTACTCAATCTGGTGCTCAAGAATTCCTTTGATGCTTCAACACCACAACCGGGAGCTTACCATCTTGCCAATGAACTGCTTAGCCTTACAGTTTCTATTGAGGAACATTTGGGCTATGGCCATGCGTCTCGTCTATTCTCTGCTGCTAACCCTTGGGTACCTGAGTTAATTCTGGCATTAGGATCTTTGCTCATAATGAATCAGATTGCAGAAGATAGTGCGGTTCTTACACACGAACATGATATCACAAATCTTCCCTCCTGGCTTTCCATTTTAGCTAGGATTGAACTCTTTGAACTACAAGGAGATGGTTCTGATGAGGAAACTGATGGAGCTTCTAAAGAATTCGGCTTCTTAGCATTCAAGAAACTAGTGGGTATGATAGTTAAGATGCTAAGAGGCAACCGTAACGTATTGGATGCATTTGGAGCAACCATCATGAACATTTTGCTAGCTAGGTTGCAAAGGAAGAGGGACTTTGATGTCATGCTGGGGCTGTTGCACTTTGTCTGTGTGAAGTTGGTAAAAAATGAAGGGCAAAAATGGAAAGAACTTAAACTCATGCTGTCATACATCCAGCAGCTCTACCATCAACTAGATTTGCAGGCTGAAGATCCTAACAATGGTGAGGACGACTTGCAGAAGTTGCAGAGTGCAAAGGCATTGCTTCAGCCTGCTTTGCTGTACTGTTCATCTGATACTGGAAGGAATTCATTTGAAGAAGAATGATGAAACATTCGTAAGAAGAAGAATGATGAAACATTCGTAATGTTATTACTGTGTGATTTTGATAAACTGTAGCCAAACCTGGGCAATATAGGCACAAACCTTAACACTGTTATGTTTAGATTCTTCTAACAAGGATCAGTAGCACCAAATTCTGTTCAGACAATAAATACTCTGATATCATTGTATAAAATGTTTCCAGACAGTATAAAAATTCCATAATTGAAGAAAATAGAAGTTCTGTGCTGATCAGCTTTTGCATTAATAAGATAAGTGGATGATGATTACAGGCTAAATCAACTAATAAAAGTATCAGATTGCAGCAGTTTTTGCAGAACTGCTTAATTAAATTCAAGCCAATCAAACAACTAATAAGTGGGAAGCCTTTTGATTGTGACATACACAACTAAAGGTGGTCAGTGGCGCCAAAAAAACCAAGCAATTCGGGGGAGCTGGAGCGGGAATAACAGTACTCTAGCTCTTTTCTCAAGCCGGAATATGAAAACTAGATTAAAAAGGGGAAAAGGAAGGAAGGCGGGATTTTACAATTGTGCCAAATCCATCCCTCACAGGATTAGATATCACAGTTCTTCTGCACCCGATCCAGATTGGCATCTGTAAGTCTGGATGGGCTTTCATACGGGGATCTTCTTCAGGTACACAGCAATTGGCATGCTTAAGAAACCAAAGAATACACTGAGGAACCACTGGCAGAGGCTGAGGGGGGTCGTGTTTGCGAATGTCCCCAGATATTCGATGATTATAATCTGGAAGAAAACTGTGACACTGATCACTGTCACGAACACATAGTTGTTCAGTATGCCTTCAAGCACGTCTATTTTCTCCATCTCTCGAGAGTTCACCTCATTGAAAAGCTGCAAATGGAGTATAATGTGAAAATGCTGCGACCAAAAATAAAGATTATGCTAAGAAGCAAAGCAGTTGGAAATGGAACGCACCTGACAGAAGACAAATGAGTTGAAAATAAGCGTGTTGAGGGTGAGGTCAGCATCAGGGCCATCGAGACGAAACACGAATTTTCCACATGCCTGAAGGAACCAGATGACGATAAACTGATATAGAGATTGTCCCAAGATATTCCTCCACATTACATTCGTGATAAAACTTCCAGTCCTTCCTACTGGCGCTCTCTTCATTAGATCATCAGTAGGGGGTTCAGTTGCCAGAGCAAGCGCTCCCAATGTATCCATGATCATATTCACCCACAAAAGTTGAACAGCAGTAAGGGGGGCCTTACCTGTATCATAATACAAATTCTCGCATCAAAAATCATGTGTGGCTATAGGAAACCGAAAATTGAGTAGTAAATGCTCCTTACCAGTTAAACAAGCGGACGAGAAGTTGACAATCAAAGCAACCACATTAACAGTCAACTGGAACTGAACGAATTTCTGAATGTTTATGTAAACCGAACGTCCCCATTTAGCTACAGTCACAATCGTGGAGAAATTGTCATCTAGAATAATAACATCAGCGCTCTCTTTCGCTACCTGAGATCACAAGTTAAAGACAGTAAGAGATTAGCCATTCAAACCAACCACGATTTAAACATAATCGTAGAGTCCATTTTTATCAACCAACACTCGGTGCACACAATAAAAATCATATCAATTTTCCACCTCGGTTCCAGCAATGCCCATTGCAAGTCCAATATCCGCTTCGTGAAGTGCAGGAGCATCATTGGTTCCATCACCCGTCACTGCCACAACTTCATTAAACGTTGTTCGCAATTGCTTTACCAATGTGTGTTTGTCTAGCGGTGAAGATCTAGCCATCACCTGAAAGAAACGCACAATTATTAATTAGAAAAAAAAATAAAAAAAATAAGAGAATAGAAAATAAAAATAAATAAAAGAACCTGAATTTTAGGAATTATTTTTTGCATTTCCTCAGGACTTTTCTCCCTAAAAACTGGACCTTCTATGGCAATACCATCATCAGTTAATATTCCACACTCCCGAGCTATAGCTTTTGCAGTATTGATGTTATCCCCAGTAACCATCCGAACAGTTACGCCAGCTGAACGACAAAGAGCAACAGATTCCCTTACGCCAGGCCGAACAGGATCCTTAATTCCTACAATTCCTACACAAGTATACCCCGAGAGTGGAATTTCCTCGTTAGGGGAGAATCCATTTTCCAGTTCCATATAGGCAAGGCATAAGGTTCGAAGGGCTTCATTAGCAAACTGTTCTATTGTGGAATTCATGCGATTAGTCAATGCTTCATCCAGGGGAACAATTACACCGTCCGAATTTATCACCTTGTCACAGGCAGCCAAGACGATCTCCGAAGCACCTTTAGTATGAGCACGTAAACCTCCCTCGGGGAGTTCTAATACTACGCCCATTCTTTTCTTAGTAGAGTTAAACGGCTCGACTTTTATAAGCTTGCAAGCCTGTCTTTCCGCCTGGAAATCTCCACCTAGAGCTAAACCAAACTCCAGTATAGCAGTCTCGGTTGGGGTCCCCAACATTTCACGTTTCCCGGTTTTCGAAGCCACAACTTCGCCCCCGGTGTTGTTGAAGATGGACTGCAACACCTTTTTCAGAACCGCATCGGGGAGCTCGGAGCACAACGCAGCTGCATCGCTCGGCTTGTTTATATCCTTGATGTTCATAGCGATGCACGTTTTGACGACCGTCATGCGGTTGGTTGTTAGCGTGCCAGTTTTGTCACTACAGATGGTCGTAGCCGATCCCATTGTTTCACAAGCGGCCAAATGGCGTACGAGCGCTTTATCGTTCATCATCTTTTTCATGGCGAAAGCGAGGCTTAGTGTCACGGCTAGAGGGAGTCCCTCGGGAACTGCGACCACCACGATAGTAACCGCGATAGCAAAGTATTCGAGGAGTTCAAGTGCATCTTCTCCGTTCAAAACCCAATGGGTTCCCTCTCGAAGTTTCCGGACATACATTTTCTGCATCAACACCGCAAACGTGACCACAGAGAAAAAGAGGCCTATTTTACCAATGATCGTTGCCACTCCATTCAATTTAACCTGTAATGGAGTTTCATCGTCTCCCCCTTCACTAAGAGTTGCCATAAGTTTCCCCCACTGTGTCCTCATCCCAACCGTCGCGACCAACATCTTGCACGATCCATCTTGGACCTTCGTTCCAGACAGAAGAAAAGGATTTTCAGTACTGACCATCACTGGCTCGCTTTCTCCAGTCAAACTCGACTCATCGATTGAAACAGAAAACCCCGAGAGAAAAAGCCCATCGGCAGGCACTTGATCTCCAATTGAAAGATGAACAATATCGCCAGGAACTAGCTCATATATCGACATCTTTTGCCTATACCCATCTCTCGTAACCTGAATGGCTATTTTCTTCTTCTCTTTGTCCAAATCCCTGAACTGCAAAGACTGACGATAATCACTCGTTGCTGTTACAACCACAACCAACAAGATACTGGCAACAATCCCGAGCCCATCATGAGCCCCCTTCGGCCATCCCTCCATTACCAGGCCAACGATTAGCGAAACAAACGCACACATGCCAAGGATCATCAGAGTCATGTCGTGAAGGGCCTCCCACACGAACACCCAAAAGCTCTTGGGTGCGGTCTCTTTGAACTTGTTGATCCCAAAAAGCTCCTGTCTGCGATGAAGGGCATCAGCATCAGAAGTGAGCCCATTGGTCGAAGAGGTGCGCAACTTGCTGGCAATACTTTCCACCCCACCATGAAACTTCAGTTTCTTCAGATCATGCCCTTCAACTAGTGCTCCCAACTCATCTGGGCAAATTTCATACCCCGCTTCTTCAACCTCCTTAGGTAGAGTGTAATCACTCGGTGGTTTCACCCCTGCAATCAATTTTTAGAAACAATGTCAAAAATCTTGAATACATCATGGGAATTACCAAAATAAAAAAAAAAAAACAGTAAAAAATGCACTCACCCTGTATGAACTGAAAGGCAGCCTTGGAAACAAGAACAGCAATCCGCAATTTCTCCTATAACACAAAGTAGACTCACATTTCAGTAACAATACCTTCACCATTAGCTTGAAGAGTGGAAAAATAAAATCACCATTTTATTTGTCACTCAAAAACGAAAGGAAAGAAATTTATTTGCAGTAAATTTATATTTGATTTCCAGCTAAAAAACGAGGCGGCAGCTTTGGGGAAAACAAGATCAAAACAGAAGGCCATATTTAAGGAATAAGAAATACAACTTCGATTAACTCTCAGAGAATACGAAATTTGCAGGCTAAAAAAAGCATTTAAAAAAAACAGAAATTGGTGTTTCCTTACGGTCAACTACGGAGCTGCAAACGCAAATTTTGAATTTTTTTTTCAAGAGAAAAATGCAGTCAAAGCAAAACACTTTTCGATTGTTCTCAATTCTGGGAAAACTGGGAAATGAAGGAAAAAGGGTACCTGATTTGTACGGCGCATGGCAGCAGCCTCATAGCGCTTGGAAAGGTTGGCAGTGAAGCGGAAGCGACGCTTAGGGTTCTTAACGACGCCGCAAAGGCTCCGCCATCGCTGCAGCGCCTCATCCGACGAGTTCTTGGGCTTCACTCCCCCAAAGTTCTCATTCAAATAGCTCTCCATTTTCGTTTCCTCCTTCTAACTTTTCAACCTTGACTTCTCTAGCTTCGACACCCAAAATATATAAACACACAAAAGCAAGCTGAGAAACAAACATGAAATTTGGTAGCAAATGTTCCTCCAATACGAGGAAGAAAAGAGCTTTAAAAGACTCGTCAGAAGCCACAGCCCAAAGGAAGTTTCCCAGTGATTCCCTCCTTGACAGCAACAAGCGAAAAGAATAGCGCGTCGAACAAAAGAAATCAGTGTCGAGGAAATGTCCGGGAGTGGTGGATTATCAGTTTCGGAAGAATTGATGATCCTGCTTTCTTGGTCCAATGGTTTGAACGAAATAGTCGGGTCAAATCCCAGGATTGTATATTGTTATGTTATTTGTGAATAGTATTGTATATTGTTGTAAAGTTTTTATTTTTTGGGCAGTTCCAATCAAATTTATTTCACCCTTGATTTGGTAACTCGAAAGTTACAAATTTGATATTTAATGAGAACTGTTTGTCCGCCTATTTATCTTATTATTTAGTTTGAATTGATTAATTATGAACAATCGATACTAATTTATTTTGTTGTATAATTTTTTGTAAATTATAATTACAAGACAGAGTTTACTTAGTGTACACTCTCAAGTAGTGTTTATGCATTTCTCTTATCACTTAAAAATAATAATTTACTCACTATATAATTGTGTATACTAAATAAATTCTTGTTATGATGAAAAAATGTAATAATTATTTAATTAGTATAATTTTTTATCACGTATAATGACTACTCATAATTTTTTTTAAGTGATAATAAAAATTTATACTCCATAATTAATATTTAAAAATGTCTACTGAATAAATTTTGTATTATAGTGTAATATGAGGTAAACAACAACATGCATTTAAAAGAAAAAAAACATCAAAATGCAATTTTAAAGTATAATGTGACATTGTGATGAATCTTCTTTCTCAGCTTTTGGTCGTTGACGCGTCGCGGACGCCAAACGCGGACTTGTAGTCTCCTGTACCGCGTGTACAATAATTGCAGAGGAAATGTATAACACTATGCTATCCCTATAAGCTAATTTAGTCTTTGTTTGGAAAGATTCTTTTAACTAATTTTTTTTTAGTCACGAAAAAAAAAATTGTCACTATTTGAAGGTGTGCATATAATAAACATGTCTTGAACCAATATATATGGCGTGGTGGTTTAGCATCTCATTCCTTAAGCATGAGATTGGGGATTTAATCCCACCTATGTGAATGGAGCAAATTATTTGGCAAATCCCCTACCATTAGCCTAGATTATTTTATTGACTACAATTGACCGACTCAAACTAACAAGGCCAATAAAACATTCCACTAAGACTCGAACTTGAAACTTTATACTTACAAAGTCAATAGCCCAACCACCCAATTTTTTTTTGAAGGATGACCACCCAATTTTATTACTCCCTTTGTCCCATTTTGCTTGTGCTATTTACTATTCGTTGGTCAAATCAATTCTTTCTTCATTATTTATTTTATTTAGTAATTTCAAATATTTTTAAATTTGATTTTCGTGTTTAATAGTATTTTTAATGTAGTTTCTAAATATCCTACCAGGTAATTCAAGTGGCAAATGAGCTTTCTTTGTGGAGGAGAATTCCAGGATAACCTAGGTTTGAGAACCATTAAACCCACATAGAAAGACCCGGACCACAAAATAACTTCAACCAAAGGTCGTTAACCGAACCAAACAAACAAAATGAGACTGGGTGAGTATATAAAAAAAAAAAAAAAAAAAAAAAACAATTATAACTCATTACTTAATATACCCAAGAAAAAAAAAAAAAAAAAAACTCAAAGCTTATCAGTTGAGAAGTCGTGATCGGCATCTTATTTTATGGCTTGGAAATTCCTTGTTTTATTAGAGATGGTGGTTCCGTTATGGAATTTCATGTGATTTAGTAATAAAAAATTTGGAGGTGACGACATGAAAGTGGTCCGTACTTACGAAATGCTTTCCAGGGATTGAAGCAAATTAAATCATATTCTTCCATGTGATGAGCACAATCATTATTAGCGTTCCCCCAAGTGGGCCGGGAGTCAATGATTTGATTAGATTTCGTTTTGCATCTCAATTGGCTGATGTTTGTTGGACTACTCTCTGTTCAAGACTTTATGTAACTTGTATGTATACACATGTTATTTGATTGCAATTCCAGATTATTGCATCAAATCAATTTCATCCAACTAAAAACACAAATCACCCCTGTTTGGATTTATTAATGACCATAAACCATGTTCTCTCTCTCTTTGAACAACAAGCTAGCTAAGCAGAAATAATGCTAAAGAGCTGATGCAATTATTTTCATTAAAAAGAGAATCAGCACATGACCTACAAGTTGAACCTAGATAACTCTATGTCAGCCATTGGCTTCTTGGGTATAAATAATTGTTATGGCTACTGTAATCTCAAGACGATTCACACCACTACATACTAAAATATATTATCCTTACGTACGGCTTAGCAATCTTCAATTCCCCGTTGATCTATCTTTTTAATCTTCACAATTCCGATTAGCTAGGACTTGGAAGCCAAAAATGCACATAAGCCGTATGCAACCATAGCAGGCACATCGTCACCCCGCGCCAAGCTTCACGTGGCGGCCGCCCCTGGAGGCCGGAGAAGGTGATGGCCGTGGAGTTTATGTCGCGGGTGAGGCTGAGGTGATTCATCCCCGACAGCGACGCCGAGGTGCTGAGGTAGAGTTGGACAGCGTTGTACAGCTCGTTGGTGTTCACGCGGTCAATCTCAGTACGATGAGAAACAGTTGCAGAGGCGATGGAGCAATTTGACGGAGGCGCATCGGATCTCCGAGAGAAGCAAACCGGAACAGTTACTAGGCGTTGGCGGGAATGTTGATTAATAAAGCTTACATGCATGACACTCCATCTCATATGTTTTATTTTTAATAAAGCTTACATGGACTCTAAATCACCAGGAAATCAGCGCCATGTCATTAGTAAATTGAGAAATTTATAAAAAATTATAGGTAAAAAAATAATGATTTATGAATCGAAATATACATTTTAAAAGGTCAAGTGCGGCATGAATAATCAGTTCATGGTGCGGGATGAGACTTTAATTTAAAAAATTCATTCATAGTATGGCAAGGTGCCTGGGATTGAAGCAGAGTTCTTTACTTTGTTCATGCAAGTCATTTATTGATTTCAATTAATATATTATTATCTCATGTCTCAATTCCTTGATTCCTCCCCCCCTCCTCCCCACCAAAATCAAAGAAAATACATATTACAGCATTGCAATTTAATAGCATGAAATAATCCACTTCTATTAAGCATTTAGTCAGTTCATTGTGCTTTGGCAGATGAATCTCTTTTCTTCTATAAAAGTTTTCAAATGTTAAGCTTCATTTACTGCCTTCAAAATATTTAATTCAAGTTATAACAAGAGAGAACCTCGAAGCAGGGAATACGTCATGCCCCTTCGTAGGGGCCTAAGGCCCGATCTATTTAAGGTTTACATAGGTCTGACTTGTTTAATAAAAAGGTTAGATTTGGGTCCATTTTGAAGCCTATTAAAATAAACAGGCCAGACCTATTTATACCAAGTTTGGCCTTCAGGCCTACAGGCCTAGCCTATTTACACACATATTTATTTGTAAGAACAAATTGCACTTTTGGTCCTGTGACTATTAGGGCACTGATAATTTGAGTACGTGACTTTCAAAACTCTCAATTTAAACCTTTAACTATGTAATTATTAGCAGATTTGGTCCTGTCGGCCAAATTGCCGGCCAATTTTTACCGAAAAAATTAAAACTATTTTTAATTATTTAATTATGAGGGCAAATTGATCATTTTAGAGAGTCTTCTTCTTCAATTGCTTCAGTTCCCGCTCCTCTCGTTGCGACTCCATCGCCATCGCCTTCCTCCGCCGCAGAAGCTGAGTCGAGGAACTGGCCGGATTCGGAGCCGCAGTCCACACGTGCTCCCGGAATCAGACGGAGCAGAGGCGGGGATGAGAGTTTAATATGTGATGGTGTTTTGTACTTCTTGATCTACTCTACTGGAGGTGGCCCTCCATACAATCGTCATGGCTTAGTGACTTATAATCTCATGAGCAGATCAACCCATGGTTTACTAATGCGGAGTTTCATTCCAGTGCCATGTTCCCTTACTTGTGGTCGCTTGATGAACCTCAAGGAGAGGTTAATAATGGTGGGAGGGATTGGGAAACCAGACCGACCTGATATTATAAAAGGGATTGGGATATAGGGTCTGAATGGGAAGGAGTGGCAAGAGATTGCATGTATGCCACACAAGTACTTCCAAGGCTTTGGTGAGTTTGATGATGTTTTTGCTAGCAGTGGCAGTGATGACCTGGTATATATCCAGAGTTACGGAGCCCAGCTCTTCTTGTTTTCGATGTGAACCAGAAACAATGGAGGTGGTCAGTGAAATGCCCCTCATTTATATATTTTTATCCAAGGAGTTTTGGAAAGGTTTACATATGTGGTCTGTACCGGGGGATGACTGTCTATTTATGAAAATGGGAAACAGATTATTATTATTATTGATTATTGATTATTGATGTGATATGGATTACGGTAGTATGTTAATAAGTTAGCATAGGAGGTTTGAATGTGACGCTTCTGGAAAAGGCTTCAAAGTCACCGGGAATGGCAGGCAAAAGGCTTCAAAGTCACCGGCTCCGTTTGCGACCTGTCGTCCAGGGAACAGAGGTTACTCGATCAAAACAAAGCAACTAACACGATAATGTCGACCGTTATAGACCATACGAAGTTAAGGATAGCAGTGGCGGTAGTGGACGACGGAGACGGCGGAGGCATGGCGATTGAAGGCGAGGGAGCGGCGGTGGCGGCGACACTGGACACCGGAGAAGCGGCGGAAACAGGGGACGACTCAGCTTCTGCGGTGGAGGAAGGCGATGGCGATAGAGTCGCAACGAGAGGAGCGAGAAGGAAGTGAAGAAGAAGACTCTAAAATGACCAATTTGCCTTCATAATTAAATAATTAAAAATAGTTTTAATTTTTCCGGCCAAAATTGGCCGGCAGGACCAAATCTGCTAATAATTACATAGTTAAAGGTTTAAATTGAGAGTTTTGAAAGTCACGTACTCAAATTATCAGTACCCTAATAGTCACAGGACCAAAAGTGCAATTTGTTCTTATTTGTAATATTAAGTTAGTATATAATTATATATTCCCTTTTATACCTAATGTATTTTTATATTTACAATATAATTTCAAGTATATATATATATATATATATATATATATATATATATATATATATATATATATATAATTATCAAACCTTAACCCGCCACGGGCAAATTATTGTATGGACCATAGTCCACACAATGTTATGTGGACCATAATAAAATGTACATTTTTAATATACTAAATGTATATTATTTTTGTATTGAATGTACATTATACAATATAATGTACACTCAGAACAAAAATAATGTACATTCCCTGAATATAATGTATATTATTTTTGTACTGAATGTACATTATTTTTGTACTAAATGTACATTATTTTACAGTAGACAAAATATGGTCCACACAACTTGTGTGGACCATGGTCCATACAATAATGATTGCCCTCCACACATTCAGGTAAAAACAAGGTTTAAAATACAAACTTGTGGACAATATTGAACCATTGGATGGTGAGATTTAATGGTCCAGATTCGTTGAAGATTTTCCGCGTCTGAATAGTGTTTTTACGTTAAGGGTGGGGTTTTTTTTTTTTCTTGTGGGGTATTTATGGTATTTTGTATTAATTTGAGTCCTAGTCAGAATTGTCCATATTTCATTCATCCACGCGCAAGACTTCTCTGTTTCGCCATTCATCTCGCTGCTAAGCTGTGCGTGCCTCACGTTTGCGGTCTTCGCGTCTCGTTTCCTCTCGCGTTTTTCACTTCCACGGAGCAATGGTAGAACGTGGGGACCTCAGGGCGTCGAAGAGGCGGGGACCACCGGTCCGAGGTGTCGGCCGAGGTACGACGTCTATTTTTTTCTTTTTTTTTTTAAATTTTTTTGGGGATTTTTTGTGTTTCTTGCGGTTTTGTTTTCTGTTGTTCGTTGTTTTCTCCTTTCTACGCATCGATTGTATAACAGGGGTGGAAGGGGTGATTTTTCCCTGGTTTATTCATTAATTTGGAGCTAGGGTTCATATTTTGGGGGTTCTCTTGCATGTGTTTGCCCAGTTAATTCCTTGGGGTTTTTTATTAGTATGCATTAAGTAGGAATGGGAATTGTTGCTGGGTTGTTTTATTTTTAGCATTTCTGCCATTTTTTTTTTCCGGTGGTTCTGTCGTGTTCGGGATTTGGGTGGGGGTGTGTGTGGGTTGTTTGGGGTTTGGAATTTGATTGTTTTGGCTTGTCTATTATTGGTTTGTTGGTATGGAAATTGTGGCTTTGGGTTTTTGTTCCTTGCATTTCGTTAGTTCTTGTTTTTTTTTTTTTTTTCCAGAATTCTGCCGCCATTAGGGGGGTATTTGTATGCTTGCATTGTTGTGTTTACTTTCACCTCTGTTTTGCATTTGTTGTTTGATATTAGGACTTAATTTTATAACCCTGTCGTGATGCATATTGTACATGAGATACTTCTATTCTTTTTTTTTTTCTACTTTCTGCTGCCAGTAGGGGGTTGGGGGGGGGGTGGGTATTTGTATGTTGTGTTTAGTTTCACCTCTGTTTTGCATTTGTTGTTTGATGTTAGGTCTTATTTTCAGAACCCTCTTGTGATGGATATTTTACTGCTTCTATACAGACATATCTTCTTGTACATGGAGATAAAATAATTGTATATGTTTGATGTTTTAGTTTTTTTTTTTTATTTCATATATACACATTTTATTTCCAGTTTATTTTTCTGGAAAACTCCTTGTATGTAAACAAATCAGCAACAAGTGTTGAGTTGTGCACACGTATGTCTGCCTGTGTGCACGGAGTAGTGGTACATTCCTTGTTGGTGTTTAGATTACTGTGGTGTGGGTTTTTTAATTTGGTGTATTACTTCTGTAAATGTTGGCTGTGTAATTGCAATTTATTTGGATGCAATAATTACTTTTGTTGCGTGTATTGTTATTTCATGTTTGTGTGTCTTCGTGGTAGTTGGTTGCGTATGTCGATGCGTTTTTTTTTTCTAGCTAAGAAGGTTAAGGTGGCGCAGTGTGCTCCTGGTGGCCCTTTAAGTTGTTTGAGTGATGATGATTTTGTTTCACCGCCTTTGGCTTTTTTGGCGAGATTGCAACAAGATCCATTGTGGAATGGTGCTGATGCTGTTCCCGATGATGATGCATTGTCTGAGCAGTCTGTTGGTGGGGATGTTTCTGAAGAGGGATCTGATTTTCCTACTATTAAGTTTCGGGCACAGGCTACGGCGCTTGTGGATTCGCTTGTAGATTTGTCAACGCAGCAAAAGGATGATATTAGGAGCTTGGGGTTTGGGTCATTGTTGGATTTCAAGGTGGCTGAGTGTCCTCCCCGTCTTTTGCATTGGCTTTTAAGTCAATTTAATGGCCAGACGAGGACATTTGACCTTGGTGGTGGTAGATCTTTGTCTGTCAGTGAACACGATGTTGAGTTAGTGTTGGGGTTTCCACGGGGTCATATTGAGATGGCAAAACGTGATAAGCATCATATTAGTAATTTGTTGAAACACTGGAGGGGTTTGTTTGAGAAGGTGAGCCATAGGGTGACTGCGTCTCTTATTGCAGAGAAGGTTATGGGCGAGGTGAATGGTGGGGTGTGGTTCAAGAGGCATTTCTGTATGTTGGTGGTTTCCACGTTGGTGTCTTCTATGAGCAACGGCTATGCTAATCAGATGTACTTCCAGTGTTTTGATGACGTTGGACGCATTCGCGATTTGAATTGGTGCAAGCTTCTTTTGGATTCGTTGGTTGAGACGCAGGATGCTTGGAAATCTGGTCGGCATAAGTGCTTTGTTGGGCCTGCTGAGTTTGTTGCGGTATGAGTTTATTTTTTATTTTGTGAGGGATTTATTTTTTTTGTTGCATGTTGCCGTAATTTGGTGTGTTTATTTTTCAGTTGTTTTATGTGGACCGGGTCTTGCCTTTTGAGCGTTCTGTACCCCGTTTGTTGCCCTCATTTCGGGGGTGGACGTCTGAGTTGTTAGCTTCCCGGGAGGGTGCGGAGATAAGCCGTGGTGGATTTGGGGTTGGTGTCATTGAGCCCCCTATGGTTGTATTTGAATCGCATGCTGGGGATGTGCATCATCCTGATTTTGGCCCCAAGGTAAACCTTTTTTTTCAGTTTCTTATTTTTGTTCTGTGTTCTGTGGTGTATTTGTTTTCGTTACATTGTGGTTCGAGTTACCAGTGCACAGACATTTGGGTTATTGTGCACGTGAGTACGTTTAGTTGCAAGGTTGTTCGTTTCATTTGTTTACGTAGTGCCGTCATGTGGTTTACTGTTGTGCACATTAGTTTAATCTTGTGTGCGTATTTGTTTCATGCTGATATATGCGCTTCTGTTTGTGTTCCCCTAGACTTTTGAATGCGTGGTTGGTGAGGTTGGTGCTATGTTAGAGAGTTCCATTTGTGGGTTGGCCGATTTCTTCGCGATGGCTCGTGGTACAGTTATGGAGGCTGAGGTTTGTCGGCAGGTGTACGGTCCTATTTAGCCCCGTTTGCGTGAGTTGGATGCTGAATTTCGGGCCATTGTTGGGTCTGTGAGCTTGAGTGATGTTCCGTCTTTTAGCCTTGGTTTGACCCAGGATTTTGGGTTCGGGGGTGTTTATGTTAGTGGTCCGGATGCAGTTACTGAAGTGGTTAACAATATTGCTGCGGAGTGTGTCGCTGTTGAGCGTGACGGGGGTAATGTTATGGATGAGGTAAATGCATTTTGTTCCCGGTATTATACGTTGGTTGTTTGATGTTGTTTAGTGGCTACTTTTGTGCTGTTAGTTGTAATGTATTGGGTGTGTTCCTTTGTAGGGCGTGGGGGATGTGTGTGCTGAACAAGCTGCTGTTGGGGTGCTGGGTGATGAGGCTGTTTTGGCTGAGGGGGGCGATGTAAATATTTTGTGTTCCCCTTACTAACTATACGTTGGATGTTTGAAGCTGTTTAGTGGCTACTTTTGTGGTGTTTGTTGTAATGTATTGGGTGTGTTCCTTTGTAGGGCGATGGGGATGTGTGTGCCGAACAAGCTGATGTTAGGGTGTCAGATGAAGATGTGGTTTTGCCAGAGGGGGGCGATGTTGGCATTGGTGGTGTTGGTTCAGGTTTGGGTGTTTCCCCTATGTCGGACTGTGCACCATTCAGTACCCCAGTGAGGTTCGTTGTTTTTGTTTGTGTTCGCAAACATATTCTGTTCATAGGCCTCAGGTTCTGTGCATACTGGTTATTATAGATGTGCGTAGCAGATGTTTGTTTTGGTGATTTCTTTTTTTAAGGTGTGTTCTGATAGCTGATGTAGACAGCTGTGGGATTTGTGGGTTATTTTAATTTTTTTGGGGTTGCTGTGTGCTAGTTTATATTTGTAATTGTGCACGGACGTTTTGGATTTGTAGTGGTTCCTTTAAATGTTTATGGGGTTGTGTTTGGTGTCATTTGTTGTTGTTTGTTTCTTTGTTTCATGCCAGGAATGTTTAAAAATTAATGTGGTTTCTGAGCCCACGTTGTCTGATGGCCCGGTGTGTGCGGCTCCGGTGAAAGCGGTGCGTCCCGTTATGCCTCTTGGATCCGTCCCCCACGTTGTTGCCGCTCCTATTCAGTATGAGTCAACAGGCCCAAGTGAAGCTGTTGCGTTTCCCATGCCTGACCTTCTGGAGGATGCGTTAATAGTGAATTGGTTATTGGGGGGGTCGCCTGCTGACATGTTAGTTTACCGGTTTTGTTTCTTATGTTGGTTTGCATATTCGTTTTATTCTTTGCACTTACTATTTGGTTATATTAGGGTTGAGACTATATTCTGTGTTGGTGAACGGACTTTGTCGTGGGAGAGTTTGCTGTCGCTGACACCGGGTTCTGAGGTTGATGTTGGTGTTATAGATGCTTGGTCAGCTGTGTTGAATCGTCGGGAGGCTACTAAGGGCCGTGCGTCACCCTCACGGCTTTTTGCTTCGACGTTCACGACGGTTAGTATCAATTCCATCACTTCCATTTCATTTTACTGTTGGTTGCTTTGTTTGGGGTTTTTGGTATCCGGTTTTTTATTTGTTTTTTTTTTTCTGTATTCTTTAGTTGTCTACAGTGGTTGATACTTCCCATCCCCCGGAGAAGAGGTTAGCTTGGTTCTCTGAGCGGTTGAGGATGGACTTGAAGTTGTCACCGTATGAAGATATTTGTGAAGTTGACATGGTATGCTTGATGAAGTTTTGTTTTTTCCATCTTAGGTTTGTGTGTTTCTGTATGCTCGCACGTCCAGTCTCAGGTGTGCGCACTGCACAATTCTTATGTGCATACTATTATAACATGTCCTCACCATATGCAGCCACCAAGTCTATTAGTATTTCAAGTTTTCATACATGCATTGTGTGGATACTGTAATGCCATATGTATATTTTTTAATTATTATTTTAGTATTTTTCTAAATAGCATTTAGTATCTTGGTGTATATCAGGTGTGCACATTGCACACTTTTTATGTGCGTACAGGTTGAGTTCATGTGTTCGGTCTGATATTTTGGTGTACCACTGGATCACACCCGAATGCTTTTTTTTTTTTGTCGTGTGCAGCTGTTTTTCCCAATTCTACGGCGTGGTCACTACTTCTTGTTGTGCCTTGATTTCCCCCGGTTTCGTTATGAGATTATTGACAATGATTCTAATCCTAAAGCAAAGGCGTTGAAATATGGCGATTGTATTGAGGATTTGGTTAGTATTGCTCTCTGTGTGCCCCTACTCCGCTTTTGTTCTGTTTGTGTTATTTATTTATCCAGTTTTCTATAGTATGAGCGTTGAGTATTTTGGATTTCAGCTAGGGATGCTATCTAAATTCTTTGAAGTTATTTCTCCTCCGCGATCTACTGCGTGTGTTTGTGTGGAGTCAAAACGGTTGCAAATGCCTTGGCGGGATTCAAAGAATAAGGTTGATTGTGGTGTTTTTCTCATGCGGCATATGGAATCGTATGTTGGCCAACGTGTTCGTGATTGGGAGTGTGGTCTATTGAAGGGGGACACCCGTTCGTTGCACAAGCTTAGGCTGCGTTACATGTCAGAGATTGTGATTTCAGTTCATAATGTGCACAGGCAGATCAATCTTTCTCGGGCGTACCAGTCCATATCTGCTCCTCTTCCACCTGTGTAGACTTGTGACCTATTTAGTTAGGCATTTTTGGCTTTTTTGGGGTTGTGTGCACCCAGACGTTGTAGTTGTTTTTAGAGTTTGTTTTTGGTTCTGTACGCTGTTCTCTCCCGCTGTGGTGCGCACTGTGATGTGCTATTTCGTGGTTGTGCTTTTTACTCAATATTTGCTTATATCCAATGCTTATTAGTTTATCTTTTTGCATGGTATCCTAATTACTGCTCCCTTTAATGTTTGTGCAAATAAGTGGGTGCCTGTGTGCACTGCAGTGTAGCTTGTGTGCGCTGAGTGTGCGGTATATATACTTTGGTATGGGATCACGTTCGACCATGTGTGCACCGCTGTGGCGTGTTTCTGTGCGCGGGGATTATTTTCGATCATTTGTGCGCGGCTTTGTGGTGTATGTGTGCGGGGGTTTGTCTGTGAACTTGGTGTGTAGACTAATAGTTGTGTGCTTGGACTTATTTCCCCGGGTGCGTAGGGTGGTTGCTGTGTTTTTTTTTTTTTTTTTTTTTTTTTTTTTTTTTTTGGTTTAAAACAGAATGCTACGGATTAATGAGTCCATGTACTCAATGGGTGTTCATATTATCCAATTAATGAGTTTTGTGGTTGTGTGCACCGCTATGATGTGTTTCTGTGCGCGGGGTGAGTTTTTGGTCACGAGTGGGCGGATGTGTGTTGTAGGTGTGCACGAGTGGTTGTCAACTTGGCGTGTAGACAATTAGTTGTGTGCTCGTACGTATTGCCCTGTGTGCTAACTTACGCTTCATAAAATCGAATTAATAGCAATATTGTGCAGTTTATAAATTAATGGCAGTGCGCACATCGTATGTATAACAAGGGTGCTTCATATAAATAATGGTGTACGGTTCGTAATCGTAAACTAAATTGCATTGTTCACTGTTTATAAAATAAATAGTATTCTAAACTTCGTGTGATGCAAGTTTATCTGGACAGGTGCGACTGTTGTGGCCTGGCAAGTCGCATATATTGCATGTTCGTCCTTTTTTCTGTTGTTTATTTGTGATGGCTTTCTCTTTGTTGCTTTTGAGTCTCTTCCCACTTCCTTTGTTCTTTGCCACTTGTGGTGGTTTTATTTGTATGTCTCCTGGTCTGCGTGATCCTATTAGTCTTTCGAACACAGATTCGTTGTTGCCACTCTGTTGTGTTTGTTGCGTCTCTCTTTCTAGATCTTTTTTCAGTTGTTGTAATGTTGCCAACATTTTGTCCATTTTGTCTGGCCAACCATTCGCTAATCCAATGCAGTTGTAGAATTCGTTCCATAGCTGATTTGCAACTTTTGTTGTTTCATTCGCCTTGATAATATTTGTTCTTCTTGCCCATGGTACATCGTGTAATGGCTGTGCACGTGCGTCTCGTGTCCATCGTGGAACAATATACTTTTGTGGGATTGATTCGTACCCTCTTGTCTTCATCACCAACAGTGCATGCCTGCACAGTATACCGACACGGTTGAAGTGCTTGCATGCACACTCTATTTGCTCCTTGCTTGGGTTTTCTGTTACTTCAAACATTTTTCCACGTTCCTCAACTTTGTAAGTCCATATATCACCTACGGAGTTTTTGTCGGTGATGTGGCACGTGAAACTGGCATCCCATACCTCTTGTTGAAATTCATAGAATATGTTTATTGTGTACACTCTCGCAGCGTGCTTCTCAATACTCAAAGGGGTTTTAGTTTCAGGGTATGAACCTTCATTTTCTGCAATGAGTTTTAACTGTCTATGTCTCTGTTCTCCAATTGCACTGTTGTATTGTGCCATGAATTCTACCAAGCTACAGTGGTGGTTTGTAAATTTTCCAAAGTAGCTGTTTTCTGATTCTGACCGTGATGTCGTCCTTAGCAGTCCTCCCATTAGTATGTCGTTGAAGTATGCTGGTATCCACGAGGCACGCGCCTCGTACAGTTGTGCAAACCACCTATGTTCTTCAAGACTGTAGTCCTTCATCAGTGTTGTCCATTTTCTCTCAAATTCATCTACGGTCAATGTGTCATCCCATACGGTATTATTCAGTTCCTTTTTGAAGTCTGCATTATGCCACAGTGCAACCCCTACCTTTTCTCCAACTTTTGACATGATGTGCCACATACAGAATCTGTGCCTGGTTGTTGGCATAGTTTGTGGTACTACTATCTTTAGTGCTGGATCTTGGTCGGTTGTAGTACATCTTGGTGTGTATTCCATGGCTGCCTTGAACTTCATGACTAGCCACTCATATGACTCTACATCCTCTTTCGCAATCAAGCCAGCCCCAAATGTAATGCTTCTTTTGTGGTTATCCACCCCAGTGAAAGGGACGAACACTAACTTGTACCTGCAATGTAAGCACGGTTGCAATTAGTAGTTCGCAAACTTGTTGTGGTTGTAGTACCAGTGTCCTGCACGCTACTGCGCACACAAATCTGGTACATCAAGCACACGAGTATATATATTATATATATATTTTTTATTAACATAAGCAGTGTATGCGCACATCTTTTTTAGCATGCATGCACAGTCAGTAGGTATCATATGTAATGAAGTGCGATATTTACCTGTTTGTGCTGTATGTAGCATCAAATGACATGACGTCTCCAAAGCATGCATAATTCCTCCGACATTCTGCGTCTGCCCAGAATAACCTAGTTAATTGTGCTTCTTCGTCTATGTCAAAATCGAAATAAAAGTCCGGGTTGTCCTCTTTTCTTTTGAACATGTCTTCTATCAGCATTTGGGCGTCCGCCTCAGCTATGTAGGCCAATAGGTCCCGTCTAAAATTGCAGAAGTCAATGCATGTTGCTCCTATATCTGTGAAACTGCCCACCATCTCTTTGAACAGTCTGAATGCTTTTGTGGGTCCTATGTTTGCCTTTGCACAGTGAGCCAAGAAGGTTTTGTGGCCGATGTCAAGTTGTCTATTTATCTTTAAAAAAGGTTTGCCATTGTCCGAGCACAGACAATGTGTATGTCGTAGTTCCATTGCATGGACTATATACCCACCAGTTTTGCACTTTGTCATTACCATACGTGTCTTACAGCCTATCCTGTTGGACACTCTCCTTCGTTTCTTTTTTTCTTTTGAGCTATTTGTTGACTCCTTCCGTTTGGCCTTGTAACCCTCTCGTGAGCATAGCATATATTTAATTGACACTTCCCCGAATCGATTTCTACGCTTTGTGCCATGCCTAACATCAAATCCTGCTTCCTTAGCGTATGCTTCGTAGAAATCAATCCCGATGTCTACTGTTTCGAATTGCTGTCCTTCGTATGGTGTCATCTCTTTTTCTGTTGCCGGTGTGTAGTATTTTGCACCATCATCACGGATTTCCATTGCGCACTGTGTTTCATAGTGGCTACATTGGCCTTGACCTGTTCAACACATGAAATACACATTAGTTTTGTAGTCCGATAATTTTCGCAATATGTGCATGTTTGGCTTTCTCTGTGTCCAAGGTTCTACTAGGATGGTTCGCTTTGTGCATTTTTCTTCCAGGGTTTTTAAATGGTTTCTGTTGTGTGCACACGTCCCCCCCCCCGTTTGTGTGCACCTCACCCTAAACACATGCAATCCTTTCTCCTAATTATCCAATGGCTGTATAACTTTTCCTGGGTGTTTACTACTGCCGTATGGTGTCTTCTAGGTGTCCCATTGATGTTTCTACATCTGTGCACGGGTGGATTGTTTTATTTTCACTGTAGCATTGGGAACTTTCGTCACTGTACGTAAAGTTTGTAGTATCCTATGTGTGCGTGTGACTATCTGGTTATGTGCACGGGTCAGTAATCTTGTTTCCCTATCACCACATTACAGTAATCATGTCGTGTTCATGATTAGGGTTTCCCATTACTCACGGTTTGTCCATGTTTTCCCCAATACATAAATATATACTGCACACAATAATTGATTATGAATAGTAACTGTATTTATGCGCATACTTTTCAATAATAATTCGCTTTCTATTCTACATCTATCATAATCAAGTTGTGATGTTTACCTGGTACTGATGGTGGCGTCCCTTCCATGTTCGCCTCCTTGGTTGTCGTACGTGGCGTCACCGGTCCTCCTTGTGTTGTCGTGCGTGGGGTCGCCGGTTTCTTTCTATACACGGTGTTTTCCGTTGGAGTCGTGGATCGCGGTGGTCTGGGAGTGCCGTGTGTATTGCCTAATAACTAATCATACTAGAATTAATATTCTTTATTTTAGGTTGCATATCAGAATCGTAGGTTTGCCTTAATTAGGATTCAGATTGTTTGTCTAATTTGCCCTTTTCATATGTAATTGTCATCGTGGCAGTGGTTTCTCATCTTGCATCTAGTCCATTCATCTACTCTAATCTAATGGCCAATATTTGTCCTCAGGTTTGTATTTTAAGGGTGTTTGCATGTGAATGGCTCCATATATATATATATATATATATATATATATATATATATATATATATATATATATATATATATAATTATCAAACCTTAACCCGCCACAGGCAAATTATTGTATGGACCATAGTCCACACAATGTTATGTGGACCATAATAAAATGTACATTTTTAATATACTAAATGTATATTATTTTTGTATTGAATGTACATTATACAATATAATGTACACTCAGAACAAAAATAATGTACATTCTTTGAATATAATGTATATTATTTTTGTACTGAATGTACATTATTTTTGTACTAAATGTACATTATTTTACAGTAGACAAAATATGTTCCACACAACTTGTGTGGACCATGGTCCATACAATAATGATTGCCCTCCACCTACAAAATCGCATTCTAAATTCAGATTCAACTATAAACATTGTTGTTAATCCTATTATAAGTGTTCTTATTGTTTAATTATTCTTACTATTAAATATTTAATGAAATGTCACGACTTAATTATGTGAGTTGATTGTTAACTATTTATGAGATTATATAGGATGACAATCAATAATACAATTGAATTCATTCCTAAACAAGTTAACAAGCATGTTGAAGTTGTGACTTGTTTTATTTTATTTCATATATGTTTTAATACTATTATGTTTGCTTTTTGGTGATATACTTATTAGTTATATGTTAATTTTGTATTAGCTAGGTATATTTCTTAAATTATTTAAAAATACTTATTAAAGTTTTTTAAAAGACTTAATATATAGGTTTTAAATTTGCTCAAAACAAAACTTACTTTGAAGCTTTTTTGGCAAATTAGCCGGAGTACGCGCGTTGCGCGTTGTGGAATGATTATAATTGATGCACAATGGTGGTACAATTTAATTGTTTTGGATTACAAAGACATATAAGATTTGGTGTTTGTTTTTGGTGTGTGTTTTGCTTTGATTTGCAATGCGTAATACAAATTTATACGGAGTATATTTAACTATAATTTAATGCGAAATAGGTTTGGTTTGTATTTGTACACGTTGAACAGTTGTTTATCGTTGTAACATCCCCGAATTTCAACAACTTTTAAAACTTAATTTAAAGGGATTATCAGTCTAAACATCAACATAAGAAAAGTGAAAGCTAACTACACAAATCCGGGAGATGTTATGCCACACCTACACAACATTAGGTGCACAGGGAAACGATAATTACTAAGCAGTCTAACCGTTCAACTACTTAGGCTCACTTGCCTCAACAACTAACTAAAACAAGCCACAAGGAGCTACACTAACTAACGATCTGCTAGCGCGCTCTCCAAGATGCTACTCAAAACCTGTAAAGCAACATAAAGATAGGGGATGCCACCCAATCAGCGAATATTGCTGGTAACCCATCAACACGCATTAAGTAGCATATATAGATAAGTATAAGTCAAAACCATTTTCGAAATGGAATACAGTATATATCATTTCAAAAGCCATAGAGAGAAGTCAACTTCAAAGACTCATTCACACTCTCAAGGAAAAAGGAAATCAACATCCTTACGACAACAACAAGACAAGCATACCAACTGTAACCAATACAACTCAAGATGTATTCTACTGATCACAAAGTAGAATACATCAAGACATGCTCATTAGCAAAGAAGGTCAGATTCACACCATAACGGGTTCCAAGTCCACATAGGACACTATTACACCAAGTCATATACCATGGAGTCAGCACCATGGCCCGATTCATAGTGGATCAGTGTGGATGGCTCCAAATCATCAACAAACATGTATCACGTAGTCATCGCAATGACCCGGATCACATGCATAATGTCATCGCAATGACAAGGACCGCAACCCAGTGGAAACAGAGCTAGCAACTTTAAGTGTATACACCCCCTATTGAGATTCCAAGCTCAACGGGTTAGTTACCATCTCTGGCCGTGGATCACTCAAACACATCAAGAATATCACATAGAAGCCAACAATCATTATTATCAAGTGAAAATAGGTTTTGTGTAGCATGGGTTATCTCTTGTAGACCAAGAACACCTTCTTTAACCTCAAATCAAGACCAAAGCTCCTCTGGATCAACCTAGCACTTCACCCACCACTAGATCTTCTACAAACTTCCAAAACCCACAAGGTAGAAGAAAGATTTAGAGAAAAGATGGAGGAATCTTGTGGAAAAGGTAGGGAAGGATAGATATTACCATTCCTAGCCTTGTAGTGTTGGAAAGTTGGAATCTTGGTGGAAGACTATGCAAAGCTTGGAAGTTCCCTTTTTGACTTGGAGAGCAAGCTAGGATTCTTTTAGAGAGAGGTTGGAGAGTTTTTAGAACTTTAGCTAGCATGGAATGAAGACAAGAGGTCTTGCTAGGGCAACATGAGCACCTCTCACTAGTGAAAAGACCAAGTTACCCTTACTAAGGTTTGGATGAATAAGGGATTGAGGTACAACACACAAGGCACAAGGTACACCAAGAAGACTAGTCAATTTCTAGTCCTTCGACTATGAAATTTCAGGATTTTAAGAAGAAGTTACCAAGGAAGGCTAGGATTAACTCCTTAATTAATCCCAATTAGTATTTAAATTTACGGGGTGTCACAATCGTAGGGAGGTCTATGTTGTCCATTCAGCTTTTGTAAAGGGTAAAAAGGTCATTTAATATGTGACTTACTCAACACTGAGTATATATTTGGGTTGACATAGCAATTTTGAAAGGTAATAAATACAGAGTATATATTTGGGTTGGCATAGCAATTCTGAAAGGTTTTTTTTTTTTTCTTTCTTTGTAATAGAGTCTGTAATGGAGCAATTCCCACCCGACGATGTATGGAATTGGAGCAGCAGAGCACCGACTATTTGCACGAAATTTGTACACATTAGAGAGTGTCAGCAATGCGGCAATCAAATGTGTATGAAGACGTCGTGGACCGATCAAAATCTGGGCAGACGATTCTGAAAATGTGTGGATGTGTCAGTAAGTAATATAACATATTTAAATCCATGTGTTTGACAGTAGCTAAGAATTTCGCTTTCTATGTCTGTTGTTTATTTTAGGCCAGGAATAGTTGTGGGTATTTTGAATGGGCAGATCCTCCAATGTGTGCAAGAGCAAAGGCGATCATACCAGGACTATTGAAGAGGATAAATCAAAATGAAGAACAAATTGAAAGGCTTAATTTTATGTTAAAGAAAAAGGGCGGTTCGGTCGTTCGGATGTTGTGGTTGTAGATCGTTTTTAAGTTGTGCATTTGTATTTGTACTTAGTATATTGTTAAGTTATTATTTTTCATAGTAATTCTGTGATGGACTGATGTAGAAGCTTGTAGTGATTCGAAACGGAATGAATATATTGAAGGCCGGTTTATGTTGAATGTAATCGAACGGTGAAGAATTGTAAAGGTACAAGGATGGTTAATAGTTTTAGTGGTTAACAAATTACTTATTTGAAATTATTAGTCATTTGGTATTTTCTTTATGTGGACATGAATTCTAAAATTTGGTCGGGGTGAGTAAAAATAAATAAATAAATAAGTAACCCTCAATTATCTAAATTTATGAAATAAACAGAGGAAAAAAAAAAGGGAAAATAAACGACGTCGTTTGGATTATTAGTCTGCGAAGTGTTGACCGGCGCGGATAATGGAAAAAAATGTGTCGACGGTATGGGGTAACAGTCCTATATATAAGGTTTATATTAAGGTTTGTGAACGGGTGACGTTCTTAAAACGGTCGAACACAAACTTACGCTTGGTTTTGTTATGGTGACAGTGATAAGTACATAATTGTTCATATTTATACCCCATGTCTTTCGCATATTTAGCCTTGTTTTGCTTATGAAGTGTCACTATGTTGTTCAAAATGATCTTTATTTTGCTCATTTGATCCATTATGCACAATTCATTATCTTTGAGTAGAAATGAAGGATTTTAGATCATGGTGGATGCATTTGGAGTCAAGGGGAGTCAATGTGAAGCTAAGAAGATGGATGCAACACTTCCAAAGGAGCCAAAGAGTGATGCTTTCAATGGTGTTGATCATATGGACAAATTAAACCAAGGCAAAAGTGGAACAAGTGTCAACAAGCTGAAATTCTCGCATGGATTGGCCACTGTTCTGTTTTCGAGCCATATCTCGGTCTAGAAGTATCCAAATTAAGTGATTCTTATTCCATTGGAAAGAAACCTCAAAGGGCTACAACTCCTATTCAAACATAAAAGCCTAAAAAGGAATCCACAATGGTCAAAATCATCCTTGAAGTTGAAGTTCCGAACTTACAGATTTCGTCTAAAATTGATCACTGTTCGGTAATTTGATCGTATCTCGACCTAGGAATGTCTAAATGAAGTGATTCTTGCACCATTGGAAATAAGACTCAAAGAACTACAACTTTCATGAAGACATCAAAGCCTAATTCTGAGCATAAAGTGGTCGAAATTAGCCTACAAGTCGGAGTTGCGTTGCAGAGAAGAACTCGACGCGTCGAATCTTGGCAGTAAGGTCGCGATTTGCATTGTGTAAATGCTCGACGCGTCGAGCTCCCCGCCTCTGCTCCTTTTTAGCTGAGTTTTCACTCATTTCTACTCGGTTTTGAACCCCATTCGAACCCTAACTATTTTCTACTCTTTCCTTTCATATTTTAGTGTTAGATTAGGTGTAGATTTAGGTTCTTTATCATATTTCAAGCTTGTATTCAATGATTCAACACTTGGATTTCAAAATTTACCATCCATTTCTTAGTGAAGTTTTCTTCTCCCTTTTATCTCTTTATCTTGCACTGTTTATGCTTTACATTTGTGTTTTTGTGTTCTTTATGCTATTTAATCATGAGTAGTTAGTTTATGGGCTTGAGTTAGGGTTGTATTATATATCTTGATGCTTGATTTGTGATTATTGCATAAAGGGGATTTTTGCCTACCTAGGGTTCTTGAGTTTATGAAGGATTTGTATTTGTATATTGTTAATGCTTGGTGTACAACATTCATTGGCATGTTTTGGAGGATTATTGGCCTCAATGAGAGTTGGGTCAAGATTCCAAGCCACTCCTTGCATAAACCCGATTTTTCCTATGAAAATGGGGGAAATTGGGGGGTTTTAGATGCTTTGTGTTCTTGAAGAACTTGGAGTTGATTCATCACGAGAGTGGGACAATTCCTTGTTCTAATCCTTGTTAATTTGCTCACGTGAGTGGCTTATAGACTAGGATTCCTACTTGCATCCCCTCTATTCCTTGGTTGTGTGATTTTCCCCAATCCTTAGGTTGTGCTATGAATCTAGAAGATAATGTTCCCTAGCTTGAGTCCTATTTCTTTATTTTGTGTTTATCTTTGTGTATATGTGTTAGTCTTATCATTTCCTTAAACTTGAAGTTTGCTTAGCTTCTTGTTGGTTTCCTTATGCTAGTGTCTAGTTTATTGTGATTGCATATTGCATGCCATATCCCCCAATCCCCTGAGGACGATATTTCACACCCGAGCTCACATCTTATTTTTGCTACACATCAAAAATTGGCGCCGTTGCCGGGGATTGGCAATTTGGTAGTTCTATGTGATTGCTTGTGTTACTAGCATTAGAGTTTAGGGAATCTTAGGAGACTAAGTTTTGTTTTTAATTATTTGCTTATTCTTCCTGTCAAGTTTACTTCATTTGGTTTGATTGAAAGAGATTTTGCAAGATGGACCAAGGAGGATATTATAACTCTCAATCTTATGGGGGTTATGGAGACTACATGCCTCAACAAGGATACTACAATGCCCCATCCAATAGTCCTTGTACAACTCAAACCCCCCCTCCAAATAGCTACCATGATGCTCAATTTCAAGATCCTTACCCACCACAATCCTACCAAGACTTACCTTGTCATTCCCAACCTCCATACCATATTCCATATCCTCAACAATACCAAGATCCCCAATATGCTTTTTATGATCAATACCCTCAATGTTCACAAGACTACAATCCACCTCAACATCATTTCCCACCACAAGATTACTCTCCAAATCCATATCCATCACACATTCATTACACACCACACCCCCAAGACATTCAACCTCCATATGATCATCACACTCATTCACCAAGTGTTGGGAGGTATGTAGTAGATGAGGAGACCTTGGCATTGGCTAGGCGTTGGGGAGTCACTATTGTACCCGATGATGACATTGAGGATAAGGGCTATCCAATGCGACCAAGTGATGATGAATATGCCAATAATCAATGGGAACCTCAAGAACCACTCTATCAAGAACCTCAACAAGAATTCAAACCATTTGATCATGATCCGGAGATGAAGTTTATGATGGCCAACATGCTTAAGCAAATGAATGAGCAACAAGTTCTACTAGACAACATGATGGCTAAAATACAAGGTTTGACAACTCAAGAACCCGTTCAAGAATTGTCTTCCAATGTAGTTGTTCTACAAGAGTTGCTCTTGCCAAATGAAGGTCATGTGGTTGAAGAAAATAAAAAGCGAGGTGAGGACATTCATGGTGAAGATGAAGATGATGAGGTCTATGATGAATGCATTGAGATGGACACGCCAAGTTGGGGAAAAAGTGTAGAATTGCAAGAGAATGGTGATAAGGAGCAACTTGAGAATGATTCAAGGGAAGAAGTGATAAAGAATGATGAATTCGATGGAATGTGTGACAAAAACAAGGAATGCCCTTCGTTGGATGACACTCCCTTGGAAGAGGATGACACAAGTAAAGATTTTCGTTTGCGAAATGTCTCTGAAAAACTGGGAAAACTTGATCGTCCTTAGGTTTGTACATGTATACGGTTGTGGAGATTCACCGCCGGTAAACAAAAAGGATTCTTTTAACGGTATCTTTCACGATGAGGAGGTTTGTTATGCATAGATTTGAATTGATGTTATTTTAATCTGTATCGAATCTTGTTTGTATTGACAGTAATTAATGTGCAAAACAAAAATAGGGTGCTTTCGTGCACGTACGCATTCCTACTTTGCATGTCAGCAAGTATGCAATGAAATTCAAATTAGGGCAATTCTACCGCATTTTCAACTTCTCGGTTAAGCCGAACATGTTTAAGCACAAGTCGACGAATAAGAACTTTATGTTGGAGATCGGCGCCGGGACAATTGTCAGGCCTTTAAAAAGCGAAAGTTTACTGAATTTTACATATCCACTAAACGGTCAATTTTCCTTGATCTTCAACTGTAATATTGAAAATAATGTTTTTGGTGATAAATTGTTGCTATGTTTTTCTTCCATAACTTGGTTCTGAAGCATTTGGTAATCTTTATATTGCTGTATAATAATGGTTAAACAACAGGTGAAGCAGCAACTGTCAGTTCGACTGGGAATAGTGCATTGCAAGATTTAAGGAATGTTCCGATGCGGATAGTTGAACTTGAAGATACTTATCGAGAAAGGAAATTAAGTGTACTTTATTGACATATAAAGTTAGGTTGTTTATTCCTAATGTTATATTTGCCGCATAATTGTAATTATTTTGTTTTGTTAATTTTTGTGTGAAATATGAAATTATGAAGACTATTGATTTGATTTCTTAGTGTAATGCTGGACGGTGGGCGGTTGGGATATTTCAGGGGTGGACTGCTGGTTTGAGACGTGAGAGGTTAACGGTTGGTTTGAGACATGGGAGGTTGACGGCTGGTTTGAGACGGTGAGCGGCTGGGATATTTCGAGAGTGGGCTGCTGGTTTGAGATGGTGGGTGACTGGGGAATATCCGAGACGGTCGGCTGGGAAATTTTGAAGGGATGCACTTGATTCGACACAGTAGGCAGCTGAGAAATTTCGGAGGTGACCGGCTGGGGAAGTTGAGTGGTTGGCAATGATGCTGGTGCATTGCAATAATTTGCCGTTAGTGCATCAATCGTTATACTGTAGACCAAGGTCCTCAGTATTAGAATGAGGAGAATGTAAATTGATTCACTGGAAAAGCACAATACAATACAAGGTTTATATAAGGAGATCCTAACAGTTCTGGACTAAAACTACAAGAGAGAAATTATAACAGACTAGATTAAATCAAATAGACTAGACTAAATCAAATAGAATAAATATAATACAATACATATAACTGTTATGCCTTAGTACTCAGTGCACTGTGGACCCTGATCCTATACGACGTCGTTTCGAACTTTAATTTTAACGGAGACCGTTTGTTTTTCTACACTTTAAGCGTAAAGATTATGTACCTAAAATTGATTAGTAGTTGTATAACACAAAACATATTGTGTGTTTTATTTACGAATTTATGTGTTGTATTATGAAATTATGTGCCTGTAGAACATAAATTATTTACATAAATCGGATATGAGAATAAATAAAATAGAAAACATGTGTATGCATCTCGTAGTAAAATAGAAAGCATGTGTATGTATATCGTGTTATGCGTTTCTGTACATCGTGTTATGCAATTCTGTACATTAAGCGTAAGGATTCTGTACATGAAATTGATTAGTAGTTGTATAACACAAAACATATTGCGTGTCTTATTTTACGAATTTATGTCTTGTATTATGCAATTATGTGCCTATATGACATAAATTATTTACACAAATCAAATATGAGAATAAGTAAAATAGAAAACATGTGTATGTATCTCATAGTAAAATAGATAACATGTGTATGTATATCGTGTTATTTGTTTCTGTACATCATGTTATGCAATTCGATCTGTACATTAAGCGTAAGGATTCTGTACATGAAATTGATTAGTAGTTGTATAACACAAACATATTGTGTGTCTTATTTTATGAATTAATGTCTTTTATTATGTAATTATGTGCTTATAGGACATAAATTATTTACATAAATAAGATATGAGAATAAGAAAAATAGAAAACATGTGTATGTATATCGTGTTATGTATTTCTGTACATCATGTTATGCAATTTTGTACATTAAATGTAAGAGTTCTGTACATAGAATAAATTAAAATTTTGTGTTGAAACATTAAAAATGAAAAATTACGAAATCTGTTAAAACTTAAATATCAAATGACGTCGTTTATAACCAGCAGATCTGTTTTCAACTTTCCGAAAACTATAGGGTTTCTCTCTCTACCTAGGGTTTCTCTAGGTCTTCCGGTCGATCTTTCGACGTTTTCTTCGGTAGAATTCCGACGCAGCGAACAACCGCGACTCGTCCCCTGCATGCATGATGGCGTCTTTGCCGGCGGAACCAGACGTGGCAGGTTTGACGGCCAGGTGGGCCGATATTGTGCTCGAAGAAGAAGCAACGGCTTTCATGCAGGTTGAGGAGGCTGCTGCCGAGGAGGGGGGCGGCGAGGTGGAGGAAAGTTGGGGGGTGGTGGGAAGGTTCTTGACACGGAAGCTAGTCAGGTTGGAGTTTATGAGTCAGGTCTTGGCATCGGTATGACAACCGGTGAGCGGGGTCAATGCAACGGAGGTGGAGCCTGGCCGATTTTTGTTTGTTTTTCATCATGTAACGGACATGGAACGAGTCCTGAATGAGGGTCCCTGGTCTTTTGATAATGGCACGCTGGTGTGTAAACAGGTCCCTGACGGAGTCATGCCGGTTGATGTAGTGCTGGATACGGTGGATCTATGGGTCCAATTGCATGGTTTGCCGAATGGATACTCGTCTAGTCGGATTTTGGAACAGATTGGAAATTTCTTGGGTACGTTTCTGAAGAGTGATGATCGTTTCGATAATGCCCCGTGGAAGATGTTTCACCGTATTAGGGTTTCGTTGCCTGTTGATAAGCCCTTGAAAAGACGGATGAATTTTATAAAACGGGACAAAACAAGTTGTTGGGTCATGTTCAAGTATGAACGCCTTCATACTTATTGCTATTTCTGCGGGATGCTAGGGCACTCGTATCAGTTTTGTCGCGGGGCAAGGGACTCGAAAATGCCGGTGGAGGAGTATTTGTATGGCCCGGAGTTACGGGCAGGAGGGAGCCGTGGCCCTAGGCCGGTGGACGGTAGCTGGCTTTTGTCGTCGGGGCGGCATGCCGTGGGGCGGAAGCCGCAACCTGATCGGGTGGCTGTGGGACGGTCTCCGGGTGGTGTGAACCGGACCGAGGAGATGGTTGAGGCGGAAGTGGTGGCGGTTGCCAAGCGGCGCCGGGGGGAGGTGGATGGTGAGGGACGAACGAACGAAGGAGGGGATATTGTTATGGCCGAGATTTCAAAAAACTTGCAGCTGGCGGGTTCTGGTTCCCAGACCCGCCAGGATCAATGAGTACCCTAAGTTGGAACTGTCGTGGCTTGGGTAATCCACGGACAGTTCGGGAGATTGTGGACATGGTGTCCCGAAAGCAACCCGACTTTGTATTTCTGATGGAGACTAAAGTGGCACGTGATCATGCAGAGCGATTACGTGTTAAGATCGGTTACGAAGGACTTTTCTATGTTGATAGTGATGGGTTAAGTGGTGGTATAGCGTTACTGTGGAAGAAGAATAGTACGGCTCGGCTAATCAGTTACTCAACGAATTATGTGGATGTTGAGGTAACTATCACTGGATATCCAGAATGGCGAATGACGGGGTATTATGGTTTTTCAGAACGAACAAGACGTGCTGAGTCATGGGATCTCTTGAGAACTTTATCAGCTAGATCTAACCTCCCGTGGGTGGTTATTGGAGATCTTAATGATTTGTTATATTAACATGAGAAGAGAGGGGGGAATCCACATCCGAATAGCCTCCTACGCGGTTTTGGGGAAGCTCTTGACGACTGTGGGCTCGCCCAGATGCTTATGCATAGATATCCGTATACATGGGAAAAGGGGAAGGGGACGGAGAATTGGATGGAGGAGAGGCTTGATAAAGTCCTGGTAAAGTATGAGTGGCGTAGCATGGTAACTGGGGCCAGGGTGATGAATTTAAGGACTCGAAAATCAGATCATTCGGCCCTCTTTCTGGGAATTCATGAGTCCTTAGGGAGGAGTGGACCTAGTAGGAGGGGTTTCCGGTTTGAGATGGCATGGTTGCATGATGAGGGGTGTAGGAATGTGGTGGAGCAGTCCTGGCAGGAGGGAAGGGGGCAGGGCCTGCAGAGCTGTATTCAGTATTGTGGGGACCAGTTAACACGATGGGGTGGAGACCGGTATCACAAGTACGGGAAACGAATTAAAGAGCTGACAAGAGAGCAATAGCGACTAAGGGGGCGCACTGACCCGGCCTCGCTAGCTGAGTTCCAACGCCTAGAACAGCAGCTGAGTTGCACTGAAGCCCAGGAGGATGCCTACTGGAGGCAGAGAGCCAAGCAACACTGGCTCAAGGAAGCGGATGCTAATACGAAGTTTTTTCACAGGTATGCCTCTCACCGAAAAAAGAAGAATACTATTTCTAGATTAATGAATGATGATGGGGAGTGGGTGGAGGGGGAGCCTATGAAAAATGTTATTTTGCAATATTATAACCATATTTTCTCCTCTGGAGCACCGGGAACTGGGGAGGATTTCTTTGAGGGGGTAAATCCGTGTGTCACTCAGGCACAGAACGAGTCGTTGTTACGACCCTTTGAGTTGGAGGAGGTTAAGGATGCACTATTTACAATGTTCCCAGATAAGGCACCAGGCCCGGATGGAATGAATCCAGGGTTTTATCAGCAATTTTGGGATGTGGTTGGGGGGGATGTGACGAGTTTTATTGTGAATTGTGTTGAATCATGTGATTTCCCACCTAGATTGACCGATACTGATATTGTTTTGATCCCTAAGAAAAACACCCCTGAATTAGTGACTGGCCTGCGCCCTATAGCTCTCAGTAATGTGATTTACAGAATCTTGGAAAAAATGTTATCTAACAGAATGAAACCATTGATGGAGGAAATAATCTCTGAGTCACAAAGTGCCTTCATCCCAGATAGATTGATAACGGATAATATCCTATTGGCTGCGGAGGTAGGACACTTTTTGAATAGGAAGCAGTGTGGAGTGGGGGGATGGAGTGCTCTTAAGCTGGATATGGCAAAGGCATATGATCGTGTGGAATGGTCTTTCCTTAGAAAGATGATGCTGGCTTTGGGGTTTCATGGTGGTTGGGTGGAATTAATTATGAAGTGTGTAACCTCAGTTTCTTACAATATTCTGGTGAATGGCTCAAGATGTGATCCTATTGTGCCAACACGTGGTTTGAGGCAAGGGGATCCTTTGTCCCCATATCTATTCATTATTTGCGCAGAAGGTCTATCCCTATTATTACAGCAGGCACATACTGTGGGGTCACTACATGGATGCAGGGTAGCCAGAGGTGCTCCCCCAATTTCACACTTATTCTTTGCAAATGACAGCCTCTTATTCTTTAAAGCTAATGTGGAGGAAGCAAGTGGAATCAAAAGATGCATATCTGTGTACGAGGATCTGTCAGGGCAGGCAGTAAACTATCATAAGTCAAGTATATGTTATAGTAGGAACACAAGTATGACTGATAGGGAAAATGTGGCTCAGATTCTGGGAGTGACGCAGGCCCCGAATTTTGGTAAATATTTGGGACTCCCCTCTTTTGTTGGAAGGCACAAGAAAGCAGTTTTTGCATATATTGAGGACAAAATCCGCCAAAGGATTGGATCATGGAATAAGAAGCTGCTGACTCAGGCAGGTAAGGAAATTCTGTTGAAAACAGTAGCACAATCTATGCCTACGTTTTCGATGAGTGTTTTTTTGCTGCCTATATCTGTGTGTACGGCAATAGAGAGAACTATGAATCGATATTGGTGGGATTCTGGAACTGACAGATGAATACATTGGAAGGCTTGGGATAAGTTGTGTATCCCGAAAAAGTATGGAGGATTGGGTTTTAAAGACTTACGTGCGTTTAATCTAGCAATGCTGGGGAAACAGGCATGGCGGATGTTGACTAAACCAGAATCTTTAGTGGCTCGTGTGTATAAAGCCCGATATTTTTCTAAGGGATCTTTTTTTGATGCATAGATAGGAAATAACCCCAGTTTCTGCTGGCGAAGTATTATGGCAGCAAAAAGTATAGTTTGCAGTGGGGTAAGGCGCAGAATTGGTAACGGGGAGTCTACATTCATATGGGCTCACCCCTGGTTACAAGATGATCATGACCCTATGATACAAACAGAAATGCCAGCACAGCTGCAGGAAGCCAGAGTGGCTGGTTTGATTGATCAACAAACGGGCACATGGGATTCCTCAATTTTAACAGATTTATTCCAACCCAATGATGTGGAGAATATTATGAAAATACCTGTATCCCCGGATTATGATGACACTTGGTACTGGCATGGAGACCCGAGGGGAATATACTCTGTTAAGAATGGATACAGGCGAATTGTTGGAAATTATCAAAATAGTAATGGGACATTTGCAGAATGGTTGAACCTTTGGAAGCTCAAAATCCCCCCAAAATGGAAAATGTTTCTCTGGAGAGCCATTAGTGATATTTTGCCAACCACAACCAACTTACTTATAAAGAGAGTGGATGTGGATCCACATTGTGCCATGTGTGGAATATCTCAAGAACACACAATGCATGCCCTAGTGTTGTGTGATTTTGCAAAGAACACTTGGGAACAATCCAACCTTACGATCCCCAACATTGACACAAATATTTTTCATGTTTGGTTTGGTGAGCTTTTAAATATTCTAGACTCTGATGGGATATTATATGCAGCAGCAATTCTTTACAATATATGGAGAGCAAGGAATATGGCGGTTTGGGAAGCAAAGTTACCACGACCGATCACCATACTCAAGATAGCCGCTGCAGCCAAGGAGTCGTGGACCCGGGCGCATCCACCACCCGTAGCCCGTGCTGCCCCACTGCCGACCGAGCCGCCTTTGGCGCAGGAGAATGCCGAACTGAGCCATGCCGAGCCGCACGCTGCCGAGCCGCAGTATGGGTCGCCCAAGAGAATTTGTTATGTCGATGCGGGATTCTTGCCAGAGAGGCAGAGACAGGCCAAGCTGCGGGGGGAGCTGTTCTAGTAGATACGGATGGAGCTTATGTTTCGGCTCACGCCGGACCACTCCGGAATTGTGCCTCACCGCTTATGGCCGAGGAATTAGCATGTAAGGAGGCATTATCATGGTTGAAGGATCGGGGAGAACAAATTGTCGAGATATACACGGATTGTCGAATGCTACATCGCTATCTTACCACACCAACCGTTGCGTTGCGTACATACCTAGGCTATCCCATTGACAGCTGCAGGCTGACTGCATCTTTATTTCAGTCTTGTTCGTTTCATTTAATTCCTAGATTAGATAATTATTTAGCTCATGCTTTAGCTACTACGGCTTATCAGCAACCTGCTGCTATGTATTGGGATTTACTCCCACCAGATATTATTTCGGCCTATTTTTAATAAAGCACCATATAATTTTCAAAAAAAAAAAAAATGACGTCGTTTTGATTTAAGGTCCACAATGTTATGTGGACCCTGATCCACGATATAAATTGGCTTAGTGCATAGCATGGGCCTAAGCATGGTGGGCAAAGAAGATGAGCATTGGTTAGGGCATTTACATTGGGTCTGTGGCTCTGTGCTAATATAATTCATTAGTTATATTTCTAGACTTACAGGCAATTTATATCTTACACCACGACGCGCGTTGCACTGTGCGCTCAGATGCAAAACGATGTCGTTTTAATTTTTATTTTTATTTTTTGAAATTTCCCGCCCCAGTGTATGTCAGTTAATTTTTCTTAAAAAAAGCCCCTGTTCAAAAATGTACATAATGTTATACTAGAATACACATAATTGTATACATGAATGTACATAATTATATAACAAAATATACATACTCTTTTAAAAAGATAATACACATAATCTAACATAATACATAATAAACATAAACTTTTAACATAATACACATCAACTCTTAACATAATACACACAAATTTTCTAATTCGGATGTACATAATTGTATAAAAAGAATGTACATAATTGTATAAAAAATGTACATAACTGTATGAACAAATATACATAATTGTATGAACAAATATACATAATTGTGTGAACAAATATACATAATCACATAAACTTCCTACCGCGCCTCCCAAAACGACCCCAAATCGATGTCATTTTGGGAGGCGCGCGGCGCACAGTGCTACGCACGCCGTGGTGTAGGGTATAACGATTGACTTAAAAGTGTTAAAGATTATAGTTGAATTTGCTAAAAAACTACGATGACTACAAATGTTATGGTTATATACTTATAGCTTTAAAAAATGGAAAAGTGTAAACTAAATCATTGAATTTATTATTTTTGTGCAAGTAAATAATTGAACTTAAAAAATGTGCAATCCAACCATCAAATAAGCAAAATATATGTAATTGAAATATTTTTATGATTTCTTTTAATATAATTTAAGTTTAAAATATTTAAATCTTTTATCCCAACTAGTATGACATAGGAAAGAGTAATTTTTATTACATATAATGTAACTAATATAATTGGATTATACCAGAAAAAATTAAAAAATGTCTCAATTGTACAAATTTTACTTGTTTAGTGGTTTAACAATATACTTTTTAAGTTGAATGATTCAACTGCACAAAAGTAATAAGTTTAGTGGCATATTTGATTTTTTTTTCCAAAAAAAAAAACAAAGAAAGAAAAAAAATAATTCGGCTAGTCTGGTCCGATAAGTTTAATAGTTCGAGTACTGCCCGATTAATATATCTATCCATTGATATGTGCATCTTACGTGATGAAATTAGGCAAATTATGCCCTGGACCCGTGTCCACAATGAATTGTGGACACGGGCCCAAAACGACGTCATTTTTTTAAAAAAAAATGCGTCATTTAGTTTTTATAAAAAAAAAAAAAAAATCGCGTGCGTTTTGCCGTTAACGGCATTATTATTATTATTTTTTTGGATTATGAATGTACAGTTATGCCGTTATGAATGTACAGTTATGCAATTATGAAATTATGAACACAAGGCTCTAACATTATGAACTTACAATTATGAACATATAGTGATAAAATTATGACCATGGAGCTTTAAAATTGTGAATATAGAGCTTCGAAGATTATGAATGTACAGTTATGGAGTTATGAATGTACAGTTATAGAGTTATGAATATACAGTTATGGAGTTATGAATCTGCAGTTATGAGATTATGAATCTACAGTTATGGAATTATGAATGTACAGTTATTGATCGAATTATGAACAAAGAGCTCTGACATTATGAACTTACAATTATGAACATATAGTGAAAAAATTATGAACATAGAGCTCTAAAATTGTGAATATAGAGCTTCGAAAATTATGAATGTACAATTATGGAGTTATGAATGTACAGTTATGGAGTTATGAATGTACCGTTATTAACATATAGTAATAAAATTATGAACATATACTCCTATAACGAAGCGGTTTAAAATTAAAAAAATAAAAAAAAAGAAGATAACAGTGCCGTTAGGCACTGTTACCGCTGGACACGGGTCCAACGCATAACGATTGATGAAATTATTCTAGTTAAATGTTAACTATTATGAACACAAATTTGTTGGACCAGATTGTTAAGAGAGGGGAGAGAGGGGCTCACAAGTAGCTTAGGTAGTTCCTTTGTGATACATTGTGAGCAAGTACGCAATATTAAGTTCTCAAGAGTCTGAATATATTTTTTTGAATTATTGTGATTTATCCTTCTATAATATTATCTGGCTGGAGTGTAGGAGCCTTTGACATGAAGGATTTTGCTTTTAGCAAGATTGTTGAGGGAGGATGGGACAAAGTGGACACGTTTCAAAAGTGTTCATAATTATGAATATATAGTTCACAAATTATGAGCATATAGTTTTATAATTATGAACATAGAATTGTGAACATAATTATGAACATATATTTTTGTAATTATGAATATAGAGATTCAATAATTGTGAATATGAAGTTCAAAAATTATGAATATGTAACTATATAATTATGAACATATAGTTAAGTAATTATGAACATAGAGTTATGTAATTGTAAATATAAAGTTCAATAATTATGAATATGAAGTTTAAAAATTATGAATATATATCTTTATAATTATGAACATATAGTTCAGTAATTATGAATATATAACCGTGTCTACGTTGCAAGGCGGACACGGTTCCACGACATAACGATTGACAATTTATATCATGGATCAAAGTCCACATAACATTATGGACCTTGGATTGAAATAACGAGGTAGAGAATTTATACTCGTAAGGTACAAAATTTCATAACATAAAATTTGAAAAATGACAACACAAGACACATAACATTATGAACCCTGAATTAAAACGACGAGGAACAGAATTCATATTCGTAAGGTAAAAAATTTCATAACACAAGAAAAAACAAATCATAACACAAAACACATACACATGTTACATAATTACTTATTGAGAAAATTTCAATTTTGGTCCACTGACTATTGGAGTTATATTAATTGCAACACTTGTCTTTCAAAAATGTTAATTTAGTACCTTGACTATGCAATTTCTATCAATTTTAGTCACGCCGGCCAAATTACCAGTGAATTGTGACTGAAAAATATTAATAAGAAAAATAATGAAGATATTTTAGTCATTTCACCACTTTTTATTCTCCTCCAGTAAGTCCACCATGTTTTCCGCGGAATGCTTGTGTTTTCCGCTTCTCCCTACTGTCCAGTTCATCAGGCGACGACCTTCAGGGATTCTGACTTAACACAGATATAGTGTTGGAAAAAATAGCTTAAAATGGCATAAAATGGCATGTTAAGTGGCTATTTTGTGGTACAATTATCAGTGGGGTCCACTTCCGATTTGGGTCGGGTCAAAGTGGATTCGGATTCTTCGTAGTGAGACGAAGAGATCGATATATTGTACGCTCAAAACGGATAATGGGTGAATGAGATATTGATTCTCAAAGTAGACCCATTTGAGTTGGAAAATGAAGGGAAAAAGTGAGCTTTTGTCCCACATTGCTTTGGAATGAAGATTTTCCCCCCTTATATACAAGAGCTCTTTTGAAGCTTGTAGAATTGTATAGCATAGAGGCTCTCTCGCGCGGGGAGGGGGGGGGGGTGCAAATCAAATTCCAACTAGCAGAGATTGAAAAGGCTTGATTCAAGCCCGAGCTCGTGTGCGCCGGCACCTGCGGGCACGAATGTCGTCCGGAAATTGGCTGGCCTTGCGGTCTAAGTTCTGCCAAACTTCGGAATAAATTTTCCAACACAAGCCACTGGGTGTGGCCGAACCAAAGTTTCGGCCACTAGTTTCTGACCGTTGGCTCTTCAATTCTACTGTTACGGAATTAATTTTCTGAGTTAATTCCAATTTTAAATTTTGAATTGAAGGCCATGCTAATGGTGCTGTTACAGGAAGGTGAAGGGGTGCCCTTAAGTGCCTAATTAAAAGCTATTAAATCCTTCACCCCTATAAAAGGAGGAGTTGGGCAGTAGAGTTTTACACAGAAAATATAGAACACTAAAGTTCATCTTTTAGCCTCAAAACCTCTCTGCTTCTACTCTTTCTTTAAGCCATACTGTGTTCATAGCCATTGTCTTGCTCGCCGGATCCTTTGTTTGAATGCTCAAACATTGGATCATAGCAAGTTTTATCCTGGGAAGCCTAGGCCACAACGCTCCTAGCATCTACGGGAGGTGGCAAATAAGGTTTTAAGGAAATAGTGCACACTTGACTCTTGCAAAAACCCAACACCAAACACTAGCCAATTTTCTTCAAATTTTTCTTCCCTTCTTTCCAGAAAATAATAGTCAATTTTTTATTTGATTATTATTTGTTTTCTACCAACGGTTCCTACAATCTTAAAACCTTATTTCTTGTTTTCCCGTTGGTTGTTTTCTCGAATTTCCTTGAAGAAATGGAGAACCCCGAGTTGCCAATCGTTAACAATGGGGAAGAAAATGTTGTTGAGAACAACAATGGAGGAAACGGCAACAATGTTGCTAATTCCCAAGCTACACCAGTGAACGTTGGTTCACAAGATGGTGGGA